AATTTGATTCCGATTTTATTGGGTTTAACCTAAATAACTTTTCAAATTTTTTTATTTTTTATTAGAGAGACACTTATCACTTTATTGTCGTGCCAGTTAGGGTTTAGAGAATATTTCTAGAAAATTCTGCAAATCTTATGCTTTAGGAGGAGACACTAATAATTATAAAAGAAAATGATTCTTGCACCGCGTAGTTGCTAGACCTACTCTTTTAATTGGTCAATTATGCAACAAATAAGAAAGTAAAACTATCACTAAATTATATTTGATATAAATAGCCAATTAAAAATTAGTTTTATTTGAGTACTCCTTATTTATGAAGCCGGGGATAGTAATATTTTTAATTATAATAGTGATATGTAGACTGAAATGATAAATTATTACAAAATCAATCATTTTGCTTTATTAAAGTGTTTTAGTTGTAGTTGTAACTAATAATTTCTCCGACTGAACCCAATCACGTAAGAACCTAATTATATAATATTATGGCATTGGTAATTATTTTTTAGATTTTTAAATTTGAGTTAAAAAATACTCTTTCGTTTCAAATTAAATGTCTTTTTTTTAGAGTCTAATTTTTTAAGAAAATAGGTTTTACTATTTTTTATTATATTGATAGGTAATGAATTGTCAAATAAATAAATAAACAATTGTCAAATATGTTCATAGTGGATCTAAATAATGTAATGTTTACTTTTTAATGAAAAGATGAACATTTAATTGGGACAGACGAAATACATCTTCGTTTATCATGTGAAAAGAAATCAAAAGAAAACTGAAAACTCCTGCCCTTAATTTCATAACATTTTTAAATAAAAAGTGAACCGCCCTAAACTGTCCATTTCTATTTGTGTTTTGCTCTAAACCCTTAATTTAGGGTTTTTTTTTTTGGCCAAAAAAAAATCCCTAAACTATCTAGGAAGATGACTTAGTTGACAAATGTTAGCAAAAAGGGAACTAAAATATATATTGACTAAAATACCCCTTAGGCGAATTTGGAAATTTGGTTCAATACCCAATTCAGTACTCAATTTATGTATAGTATATGCATCTTAGCATTAAACTATGTTTTTCGGCTAAGAATTTATCTCTACTTAGAACACCATAATCAAACACTTGAAAGCTGTGAAATTTGATTACTCTTTATATCTTAGGATTTAATGTTAGTTTTTATTGTTTTATTTTAATTATGTTAATTTTGTATTTACATTTTATAATTTAGAGTCTTCAAAAAAAAAAAAAAAATGAATTAGGGTAATTCTGGGATTTTTTAAGAAATAATGTCATATATTCTCCTTTTATGCTTGATTGTGATGTTGGTGATTTTCGTAATGGCTCGAGTTTGCACAACATATGTGTTCATCCAACTAGTAGACACGGCAATTTGGGAACATCTTTGGTTTCAACATTCTTTAACTTAATAATAAATAATAAAAAACTGTTTTTTTTTAAAAGGGAAATTTTTTGAAAACATTTTCTGATATAATAACATAGTACTAGACATTCAAAATTGTTTTATTTACAGCTTCAGCATTGTAAGACACTGTTTTGTAACTGAAAGGGAAAAAAGGTCTTAAAATTTAATCGGTGTTATTGAAACTATTTTAGCAGTGTTTTAGCACAATTCATGTGTGTTTGAACTTGAGGTTGGTTGGAAACGTAAATATAGTGTAAATAATATTTAATGGTATACATTATATATAATATTATAATTATAATTATAATATATATATATATATATATATATATATATATATTATGGGTAAACAAAATAAGTTAAGCAAAAAGAAGAGTACATGATGTTATATAATATGGAATAGATTACTTGGCTAAGAGTGATAATAGAGTATATAAATATATACATACTTAAGGTATAAATAAATTAGTGCTCTTTAGAGGTCCCTCTCATGAGTAGACGGAGCTTTCTCTTTTTTTAACCCAAATGCATTAAATAATTGATTTAACTGTTTATACATTTTAAAAAATTATTTTATCCAATTGTTAAATAGGGAGAAAGTTCATAATTCTTCTCATGCGACTGCGTGAGGGACCTCTTAAGAGTTTTACTTTAAATAAAACAGGTATATGAATAATTTTTTTTAAAAAATATATGAAAAAATTCAATGTCCAAATAACTTCTTTTCAATTGGCTCAATTGGGTGAGCCACCTTGATTTTATCTTTATGTCACTTCTACTACTTACTGGAATATGTTGCAGGTTGCTAAAAGTAACTTCTAATTACAAAATCAGTATTTGATGAAATAAATTAAATTATGCTATGACCTTGAATTCAATACTCCCTGCATTCCATGCTTATCCATATATTCAAAATTCCAAAAATTTTAGGAGCCAGCATATGATGCATTTAGACTTAAGTGAAAATCTGAAGTTTACAAGATTAATTATTTATTTTGCACCAGTAGGAGATTCAAATTATTTTAAAAGTGATAATTTATAAATTTTACAATATTTTTTATTGTCTTTTGCAAAGTTAAAAACCTTCAAATCTAAGACTTCCATCGTGTTTGATGCATCCGGTAGAGCCAAAGAGCTCTTTTATGAGGGAGTTATGCTTGTGTGGACATGTACTATACACAAATTCTTTTACCACGCTCACCACAAGCAGCGAGGGAATTAACTTGTTATATTTTGTGCCAACAAAACATCATTGCAATATATCAATATTACATTGATTTTTTTCTTTTTGCCTTTTTTTAATAAAAAGAGCCGTAATGGTGACATCTTATGTGGGCGGCTGCAAATAACTGATGAAACCAAAGCGTGAGAAAAAAACTGCTCATTAGTTGACTTTTTTATTTATTTATTTTTTCGAAAATTAAAGTAATTTTCATTAATTAGTTGCCTTTATTTGCCTTCAACAAGAGTTTGAGTAGGTTAATGTGTTCTTCCACTGTAGTAGTTGAGGAAGTGAACAATGACTTTACTCTTCTTTTGAATGCTCAATAAAAGTTTTTTTTTTTTGCCTTCCTTTTAAAAAAAGAAAAAAGAAAAAAGAAAAAAGAAAAAGTGATATAAATTTTGACATTTCAAAATGAATGGATATCAATTTCTGCAAGCAACACAACTAATCCAGGAGAAATTACCATTTGGAGCTTTGTTCATGCATGCCATTGGACTTTGGAGCTAAAGGAGATGGTCTCATTAAATTGATCCAGAGCTTTTCGTTTAGGAATAAACTTAGACAAAACTCTCATTTTTTTAAATTAGTTTGATGAATTGAATCTAGACAAGAACCCTAATAAAAAAATTATATTTATTGTTTCCATGCAAATTGCCATTGAAGCAAAGTCCAACAATAAATTTATTGAGCATTTGTGGAAGCAAGTTTTTGTTTTTGCTCTTGTTTTAAATTATACATGGAATCTTGTTGTCAGTGGGAAGTTGTTGAGAAGCTAATTGGTCATCTGAAAAGGAGTTGGAGTTCGTCACTTCCAACTATTTTGTCCATTGGTTTGCTTAAGAAGACTTTATCGACTTCAAAGTTCAAACACATTAAACACATTAATTTTATGCCCACACAACTGCAAAAGGTTCATACTTCCAAGTCTGTCCTCATTAGTTGAGGAGGGGCCATCAAGTCAATCAAAACATGAAATGTATACACTTCTTGCTAAGTCAATTCATGAGATATTGAGAACATGTCAAAAGGTTCCTTTAATATATCCCTTGTGTTTAAAAAAAAAAGCACTCTTGGACGCCATATATAATAGGTGGAGTATTTATAGCGTCAGGATAAGTTTGACTCACTGATGGCCTATTTGGTGAGGGAAAATATTTTGTGTTTCTTGTTTCATTTGAAACTGAAATAATGTTTTTTTGTTGGGTAATTTATTTAACAGTGATTGAGAGTATGTTTGGTAACTTAAAATTTGTTATAAGATTTTTTAAAACAAAAATATGAAAACATGTTTAGTAAAAAATTGTTGCAAGTTTGAAAAATATAATGGCTAATTTAAAAAGGTTATTTCAGCATTTTTTATTTTCAATTTAATTTTTTTTGGTATTGTTCATCGCTAAAGTATTGCTACTATGGTGTGAAAAATGAAAAAACACGAAATTGGTATTTCGACTTTAGGCCATTATCTATGAAACGCTTTGTTACTGTACAAAATAAAACATTATTCACCAATATGTTGCGACCTAGGATAATGTTACAGTGGCGATGCAAGACAAAAAAACTACAAAACAAAAGTGCATCCCAACACAGGCCCCTAATGCTTCGTGAGGACGCTTCACTTTAAAGAAAGTCTACAACACCTCGGGAATACCCTACCACAGGGGGCCTCTTAACCATTAGATCATCCATCAAGTGAGTCTTACCACCACATGCAACAGTTGCGAACCTCGGGTACCTTCGGAGTATTCCAGACTTTCACATTCTTCAAACCTTAGATATGATACTTCATAAGGCACCAGGGACAACTGCCAAGTTTTTATCTACGTGAGCCATATTATCATATTTATCTACCGTGAAAAAGTTTTTCTAGATTTTTTTCCCTCTTGCAAATTGCAAATTTGACACTCAAATTTTCATCAACATTAATCTCCAAAATTAATGTCATGATCTAATAGCAGCTAATTTTCATGCAATTTTATTTTATTTTTTGTCCTAATATGAGGGCTCTCACAATGTTCTTGGAGAGAATTGAATCATTTACCTTTCAATTTTGACACATATAATCCACACACTAAAATAAAAAACTACATATATCAAGAAATTGAAGAAAATTTATAGTGAGGCTGTGGTTGAACAATCAATTACAAAATATAAACCATTACCATTAAAAAAAATTAATAATTGTAAATCCTTCCATGATGCAAATGATTAATCCACAACTTTGGATCTTTTGGTACCGAAAGATACTTCTAGTTCTAGCTGGACATTTTGGTCCTTTCACTCTGGACTCAATAATCCATTCACGTTTATAAATAGAAAAATATGGAGTATATGACCCTATACAAGTATTGTATATCTATACAATACTAATTAAACTACTATTTAGCTGTTTGTCTCAACTCTCCAACAGCAGCTTCTGCAAAAGTCTTTGCAAAACCCCATTTACTCTGTCCGTTTGTGTACATATAAACACACACATCCAAATATATACACTTGTTTATATTCTAGGGTTTCGATTCGTTTTGCTCATCTTTAGTTGTATATTCATCGATTCCCTCAATTGGGGTCAGAGATTCAAACCTTCCCACCACTCAGATTCATCGTTTTCGACATCGAAATGCTCGAATTAAAGACCATAAAGAAGAAAATGTGGATGTTCTCTTATTGATCTCGTTCCCAAACCCAGCCCTCTTGTCTTCTTTCGCGTAATGGAAGGTATGAACACACACACAACCACCACCGCAGCTCTAACCTCAGTCCCTGTACTCAATCGTCGCCCTCGAATCCTCTCTTTCTGGTTCGCACCCACCACTCGTCCTCCTGGTGTCGATCCTTAGATTCTATACATAGTTCCATACACACATATATATACTTCTATTTTCATACTGAAATATGACTTTTTATTCTTGGGACTCAAAAGTTTCGAACTTGGGATCCGATCAATCGGAACTATTCGATCCATTTTCGGAGAATTTAGGTGGGTTTAGTGGAGATTGGGGAAATGGGTCGACGTCGGCGTCGCAGTCTTTGGTATTGGATTGTGAGAAGGGGGAGCTGGTTAAGGCTCCGGCAAGGGTGGGGAAGAAAGGTGGGGTGTCAGAGGCTAAGGCTGTGGCGGCTCTGAAGAGTCATAGCGAGGCAGAGAGGAGGAGGAGAGAGAGAATCAATGCTCATCTCAATACACTTCGTGGGCTCGTGCCCTGCAATGAAAAGGTTAATATATTGTCCATGTAGGTCATAATCAATGGTAGTATTGCTAATTGTGATTGTTATTGTCTGTTTAGTTCATTCTATTTGTTGCAGATTCATTTTTAGTTCAGCTTGCTTACCATGAAATATAATGAAGCAGTATTTTGTTGTTGTTGTTGTGAATTTAGATAAATTTATACTTTCTGTTCTTTTTTATTGCAGGCAACTTAGTTTCACATTATTAGTCTTTTATGACACTTTAGCATGAAGAAATGTCATTAAGAGATGTCTTACACTCTGTTTGGGGGGTTTTGAATAAAAAAGAAAAGAAAATAGTGGTTATTCCTAGAGAAATGATAAGGAAGAAAGAAAAGGAAGCAAGGGAAGCTGATAACCTCCCTCGTTTAGGAGTTGATACGAAGAGAAAAAAAGAAAATAATGTTTTAATTTGTTGTTAGAAAGGGTAGGTGATATTGTTGGGAGTTGGTGCGGGGAGATGAAAAAAATGGAAATTGCACTTGTTATATGAACTAGCATCGAAATGAATAATCACTAACTCATTTTTGTCTCTCTTCATTTTTTTCCCCACTCTGGAAAGAGAATAAGAGTGCATGTGGAGGACACCAATTTTACTCTCATTTCTCCCCACACAAAACATTCAAACAGAGGAGAACAACTCTCTCCCCACTTATTCTTTCTCCCCCCTGCATATTTTTTCCATTTTCCTCCTCCCAAACATAGTGTTAGGAAAATTTATGACATGCAAAGTGTTGTTGGTACTTCGTTTTTTGTTTTTATTTTGTTTTGCCTTTGTTTTGATGCATACAGTTAATACGGATGTTAGAGTTAATGGTAAGACAAGCTAATGATTAATTTGAATTTAACTTTTTTTTTTTTTCAACATTTTGCTCAATTTTGAGTTGTTGAATGGCAAATGTGTAATTCTTTTATTGATTATACTCATTGAGTTTTCTTGAATGACTGGGGATTCTGAGACAATCATATCACATTCCTTGTTTAAAAAATTGAAATTTATTTGGTAGCTGCAGTTCTGATGATTTCTTCACCGCTATTTGCGAAAAAGTTATGCGATTGACACAATCTGATTCACTTAATCAGACCTTTTTTAAAAATTGTTGTTTGTGTCGTGTTTATATGTTTTTAATACAATATGCAGTTTTGGTTCTAATCTTTACACTCAAAGTTTACTTCAAATTTAAAATGTGTTTTGTATATTCAGGCAGCCATGCCAGTTGTTTTCACTTTGAATTCTGGAGATAACTAAAGTCAACATGAGGAGATATTATAGTTTTTTTTTCTTTTTCTTTTTAAAACTGTAATGATTCTGGAGATAACTAAAGTCAACATGAGGAGATATTATAGTTTTTCTTCTTCTTCTCTTCTTCTTCTTTTTAAAACTGTAATATGCTTTTAATAGCTGAGAAGTTGCAGTTGATTAAACTCAGGTTTTTGTCATAATGTAGAGCATTACAGTAATCCCAACTTGAAATCTAAAAACAAAGCACAAAAAAAAACACCACGGGGTCAGTTAACAAGAAAAACTTATTGATAGACAAATGAGTTCTCTGTGTCTTCTATTAAGTTGTCCTGTATTACACAGTGGAAATAGTTTGAAGTATATTTAACATAAACTGAAGTATGATTGAAGTTTCATTGTTTAGAAGAAGGAACATTTTGTTTTTGTGGTTGTTTTTCTACATGCAACTGATTTAAAAGCAAGGAGAAAAGGAGAAAAGAAATCTAGATTGCGGCATAAAAACTCTTGTTATCTTAGTTTATCGGAAGACCAAGTCACATGGTCCCATACTGGACCCCTACGTAAGAAATAAATAAAACTACAATGTCCTGAAAAACTCAACGCACTGCTGCTGTTGAATTTGAGGATCTTTGGCTTGTATAACTTAAAGTAGATCTAGGAAAGAGATTTTTAACTAAAATAATTATTAAATTTTTGGGTCAAAGGTTACAGTTGTTAGGCGGCGGCATATGTATTTGAAAGGTATAGGTGTTGATTGTGATAGGAGGTGGGCGCCATGCCAGCTGGTGTTGTATGGATGCTCATGATGTTTATCTGTTTGTTTAATATATGTGTTGGTAGACTGATTAACGTGATATTCTACAATTGTTAATAATGTAAGCAACAATAGACATTTATGATAAGAAATCACATCAAACTGTTGCATGGATGCTGTCATGAGGTTTGTCTGTATCTGTATGCAGGCAGTGCTGCAAGCTAGTTAGATGGGTTCAAAAAGATTCTTTTAACTTACTATTTTTAAACTGTTGTGAAAAAGTCAGTTTTACTGAAACTGATGATAAGTGGAGCTAGATTTAGTTGATTAGTTCAAAAAATAGAAGTATCGTTTTTTTGTTGTCTTTCTAAATCACAACTATAGATTTATCTATTTTATCGTCTTTTATTTTTTCTACGTGATTTGATACTTAATGTCTTCTTCACTATTTTATTGAAAAACCTAGGACTCCTTCAGTTCCTCTCCTCCGAAAGGAATAATTTCATAGTGCTTAGTGGAAACAATTCGAATATTTTTAAAGAAAATGAAGAAATTTTGGGAATATTCTCTACCATAAACAGATCTGCTCGGGCGGTTTGTTGTTATTGTGATATTATAATTAATTTCTATTGCTTTGTCAATATTCAATTCTTCTGTCTTTACATATAATGACTATTGGTAATGGGAATTTCAATGATATGTCTTGAACTTACCCCTAAATTTGAACTGGTTTTCATAGATGGACAAAGCCACGTTGCTTGCTGAAGTTATCAGCGAAGTCAAACAACTGAAAAAGAACGCAATGGAGGCTAGTAAAGATTTACTCATTCCCATGGACACTGATGAAGTGAGAGTTGAACCACATAACGGTGAAGTAGAGGATGGAACTTTGTCTGTCAGGGCATCTATCTGTTGTGATTACAGGCCCGAGCTCCTGTCTGATCTGAGACAAGCTATTGGTTCCCTTCATCTGAAAATGGTGAGGGCAGAGGTCTCAACCTTGGGAGGCCGGGTGAAGAATGAATTCATATTCACCAGCGGCAAAGAAATGAATAGTAGCGATGCAGAGGCATGCCAACTTCTTGTGAGTTCTGTTCATCAGGCTTTGACTTCAATCCTGGACAAGGTTTCTTCTGCCTCATCAGAATACTCTCCTCGAACAACACTTCCAACCAAGAGGCGACGGGTTTCGTTTTTCGATTCTTGGAGCTCATCTTCATGAGGGTATAGATTCTGGTGGGTTAAGATGATAAGTTTATTGTTCATCTATCGCAGTGATCCTATATCTTATTTGCAAATAGGATTGTCGCAAGAATAGAGTCATCGATGCTTATTTTCATGCAGTTGTATAGAACACCTCAACTGTGCATTTGATGATGACCATGTATATTCGATATATTGTTGCCCCATCTGTTACTGGACGTGGATGTATAAAAATAAGACTCATAATGCATGTTACTCGTGTTGTAAATAATGTATTAGATAATTTTGCTTTTGGATTTTGGATGGAAATGGAATGATACAACTTCTGTTTTAGATCACTTCAAGGAAATGCTCAACACAATGAATGGGACAAGATCAGTTCCTAAGCTGCTTCTTTTTCTCAGTTTAAACTTCCCTCTCAGACTATCTTTTAACATTTCTTCGTGACTTTTTATCGTTGGGCTAAACTGTTATTCAACTAGCTTCTAATTAAACTGGAATTCACACCATTTATAAGTCACTTAGCTTATTTTGACAATATTAGTGCTTGTTTGGTGTTACTGTTGCAGAGAGTAAAAAGTGTTTTGAATCTGATTTTTTTTTTTAGATATGCTTGATAATAAAAAAAAAAAAAAACTCTTTTTTTCTCCACCTTGGCATGAAATGCATTTGCACATCCACTTGCTTATATGGAGATTTGAGCTCTTGACCTTTTACTTTGAAAGCAGATAAAAAAGTAACCCTAGGTGACAGTCTTTGATAAGGAAACCTTTTTAGTTTATCAGTAAAATTTTAGTCAAAGCTAAAAATTAGAGGTTTTTTTTTTTTTTTTTTTTTTTTTTTTTTCAAGTAAGCCTGGGAAATACGGAGTATATGAAAAGAGTTTAGAAATAACGTTACCAAAAAACAAATCTATATATATTTTTTGGGTAACTTAAAAATATTTTTTTTTATTATTAATCTAAGTTACAACGACCCAAACGGGCCCTCAGACGACAAGCCTGACGTTATAGTTATAAGCTATTTAGAAGGCTACAAGATAAGTTGACTCCAAACTATCAATTCATAATTTTATTTATTTTTTATTTTATTTTATTTTTATTTTTGTGACAATAAGATCTGTCATCAACCGACTTAAATTTCTTAACACTGATTGCTAGGGGTATCTCACAATTCAAATATTCAATGCACAACTTAATGTCATTCACAATTCAAATATTCAATGCACAACTTTATGTCATGCACAACTTTATGCCATTCACAATTCTTTTCTCTTCTTTTACAAACTTGAAGATTTTTATTAGGGCAATGCATAGGTGATAAATCTTATTGTGCCAAAGAAAAATATTCTAACGTTAGATTATAATATAGTGATATCTCGTTTGTTTGGATGTAAAATATTTTTTAAAAAATTTATATATTTATATTTGATGTCATTATTTTTCACAGCTAATGAATTCAATCTCAACTTCGACCTAAATTTTTACTAAACACCGAAAAAGAAAAAAGAAAAAAGGAAAAAGAAAAAATTTATTTTACTTAAAAAAGGAAAATAAAAAATAAAAAAATATATTTTACGTCCAAAATGGATTCTGTTTGGTTGGAGGGATAGAAGGGAGAGGAGGAGGGATGGATGAGGCATCCCTAGTGGACCTGTAAACGGATCGGATTAGGCCTGATCCGATCTGAATCCGATAAGCATTTTAGTCGATTTGATCCGAAAATCCGATGGATATTTTGTAAGTTAATCCGAATCCTATTTGTTAATAAACGGATATTCTATCCAATAATCCGATCCGATCCAATAAAAATGTAGGTTTTTTAAATAAAAAGAAAAATATATAAATTAATCTCAAAAGAGAATAAAAAAACAGTGATTATAAGAAAAAGATATAAAATAAGAGATAAATAAAATATGAAAGGAAAAGAAAAAAAATATATTTACTCTAATATGGAAGGAAAGAAAAAAAAAAATTATTTACTCTTTGTTAATGAATAAAGAGTATGATATTATTAGTATGTATATTGTAATACCCCTAATTTCAAAAGGATAGTCTCAGTATTATTTTAATTATTTTAATTGCATTTTAATTGTTTATTTGATTTCTTGGTTAATTGTTTATTTGTTTAATTGATTTAATTATTTATGTGTTAATTGAATTATTTGTTTAAATTAAATTGTGTGCTAAAACATGTATTCGATTTCTTTGTTTAAATTAAATTGTATGTGATGATGTGTATTTGTTTAGGAATTTAATTGTTTTATTTTTATTTTATATTTTTATTTTTTTTAAGGAATTGGATATGGATAGTAGTAATGGACCAATCAATTGGGTCACATAGACTACTTGGATATGAGGCTTGATGGGAGTGGAGGATTACCCATGGATTATAAGTTTATATATATATATATAAGGATAAGATTGTTATTATTATAATATTTTTATTTAATTTTATTTATTTAATGGTATTTTGATTAAAAGGATAGTTAGTTGTAGAAGGTTATTAAAGTTTAGTTTATGTGATACCCCCGGATTTCCGGATGCGGGTTGGCCAGGCCCACGCCCGATTACCCGAGGATATCAAAACAATTAGCAATTTAATGAACACAGAATACAATATAGAAAATAAGAATGAATAAAATTTTGCTGAAAAGAACCTAGAATGATAATCCAATAATTGAAAACCTCAGAATAAATAATTTCATTGATAATTAAAACTATTTTGATACAACTGATCCACCACGAATGGAAATCGTTCTCCAATTTATACAACTCGGGAATCCATCTAGTGGACCCCTAAAATATCCAATGGTACTCCAAAGACTGGAACAAAACCCAAGTTTTAACATGAAATAAAATCATACGCCATCAGTAGAGTGAATAACTGTATCTGCTCAGCACGATCAAGCTCTACAGCCCAGAACTGACGAACACCTGAAAAAAATAATAAAAGGGTGGGTCAGGCCCACGAGCAAGTTCTAATCTAACTGCAATCCATACAGTGACCCGATACGCAGATACACCATAGATACCTCACAATATCTATCTAGTCTATACATATATATATCCACACTATGGGACCTTCACTGAACTACAATAGGGATCTCAACCTGAATAGAAGGCAACATGCGAATACACACCCAAAGGTGGGCATGAGTACCTAGACCTAACAGGGTACACCCAACCTACTATAACCAGCTACACATCCACTGCACATACGCACCCTAACCAATAAGTTTGAGACTCAAGCTCAACTCGTGGTACCATAAACATATATATCTAAACTCCGCTCCTAACCATTCACAAGAAATCCAATAAGTCATTTGGCGTATTCAACCGTACCGACTTATATATATATAAGGAGGATTTATTTAACAACCCGTTGCCTTATTCCAAAATAGGTAGGACTGAGTATTTTAAATCAGTCTGTCCCTAGTAGGCCACCGTTCCATACCGGTGCATACAATCCACAAAGTCCATATAATTGATAGAACCAGTCATACTGTTCACCAATTAAAATCCATAAGGTAGGAATTAGCATTTTGAGCTAAACCATACCTAGTTTGCCACCGTCCCATACCGGTGCATACCATCCTCCATATCCATGTAAATTACAACATTCAAATGATAAGCAAGTAATTTACAATGCAAAACTAAACCCAGATAATTGACAGAATTTTAATGTGAGAATTCAGCAATTAAAATCCAATACATAATTCCAAATAATTGGTCAAATTTAATATAAGAATTCAGCAATTATAATCCAATATATGATTCCAAATAATTGACCGAATTAAGTATAAGAATTCAGCAATTATGTTCCAATACATAATTCCAGGTAAATTACAAGGCATAAATAATAAGCACGTAACTTATAGTCCAAAACCAACCATCCATCCATATCATTGCAGAATAGTATTTAGTATTCCAATAACTTAAATCCAAAACCATGTAAATTACAGGCTATAAATAATAGTACAATAATTTAAAATCCAAAACCAATATCCAAATAATTACAGAAGATTTTTAAGTGTTTCAGCAATTTAAATCTAAACAATTAACCATATAGTTGCAGGAGATGATTTAATAAATCAACAACTAACATCCAGAGCCTGCATAGATCACATCTAACACATCAACGACCCTATAATATATTTAAAACCATTTTATAAATATATTAAATCCCACTGGAATGCCTAAAAATAAGCTTAAGTATTTAAAACTTCATCTATCCACTAACCGTATACAATGTACATAAGTGTTATACAGTTTGGTCCGTTAATTTAGAATTAACCTTAAATCAATTTAGGGTCTTAATAACACCCAAAAATTAACTATTTAATCCCTCCGTAAAGTCTCATTAAATTTCTAAAATTTAATCAAGCCATTTAGTTCCTTTCTCTGTTAGTAGCATACACCGTTGTATATTTTTACACTGCTATATCCTTTGTCTTAGAGACTTAAACTATGCAATCCTCTGTTAAGTCCCTACAGTTCATTAGAATCACTCAGAAGCTCAAACAGTGCTCAAAACACCAAACAGAGCCCTAGAAAACACTTTATGGACGTAAAACAAATTGGAGCCGGCTCTTGGAATGGAGTAGCCGGCTCTTCCCCCATTGGAGCCGGCTCCAATTCCCTAGGAGCCGGCTCTTGCTGAAGGGGAGCCGGCTCTTGACTTCCTAGAGCCGGCTCTCTCCCTCTTGAGAGCCTCCAGTTCATCCCTGCTCCGTTTCCGTCAATCTGCTCCTTCTCCGATCAATTCCTACCCCTCTGCTTGTTTCTTAAACTGATCTAAAGGATCTAACACCCTCCTGATAGCATCCCCAAGGTTTGATTATAGCAATTTAAATCAATTAACAGAAGTAAACTTGTGCAAAAACTGAAACCTCATGCATGGATTACAACGAAGCAAAATGCAACAGAGATCTAAAACAGAAATAACAACCTTCCTATGAGATTTACATAACTCCCGTAGTCTTTCCATACTTAGTTTACAGTAGTTGAAATAAAAACAGAGACAAAAACTACGACAAAAACCCTCATGCTTAAAGGACATAAAACTAAACCAACCTGCATGCACTATAACAGATATTGCAGAAATCATCACAGAAATAATTCAAAGCATACATATGATTAATTTGATGTATAACATACATGAATGATTTAGTTGTTAATTTCCTTAAAACCCTAGAGCATATCTAGGTGCACAGAACACGGCTCAAAGGGAAAGAGGAAGATAGAACTTGCCTGAATAGGTTTGTAAACAAACCCTTGTTGCCGTTGGTCTCAGTTTTTTTTTTCGACATCCACTGAACTTGTCTAACTTCCTAGAACCTCTGCTCCTTCTTTCTCCTTAGTTAAACCTTGGAACCCCAATCGAAATTCTCACAAACTACTCTGTTCTCACCAAAACTCCCTCTGTAACTCTCTCTATTTGGCAGACTTTTCCGTGTAAAAGTTACGACAATATGTAACCCTAGGTTTAACATATACTGAGGTATTTATAATTGCAAGATTAAAACCCTAATCCACAGAGCCCTAACTTCGTCGGCCCACAAAGTAACCCAGTTTAGTTACATATCAGATACTTATGAGACGGCTCCAAAAACCCTAACTAAAACGTATCTAAAACCCCAGTTAATGGGAATTACATAATTACCCTATTCAAAAATTAAATACTTAATAAATAATTAATTTAATAAAATCCATTAATTAAATCAAATAAGCAAGCAACGAATCACTTAAAACACATAAAATAAATAAAACAATTAATTAAAATAAACAAACAAATAAAGAATTACACCCTTAATTAAAATAAACAAACAATTAAAAAAAAATAACATAATGAATTAAAATAAACAAACAATTGGACACATAAGCATATAGATACAAAATCAATTTAAAATGCACAAAAATAAAATTTAAATTCCATTTTTATCCCTTTTGAAATTAGGGGTATTACAGTTTATATATATGTCAGTTTTAACAAACCTATATATAGATATATAGATACATATGTGATAGTTTTTTTTTTTGGATTTTAAGCAAATAAATATATAAATATGGATAATTACAATGGTGGGCCATTTGGCCAAATACAACCCAAAAAGGTAACAAGCCTAAATGGAGGCCTAACTGAGGAGAGCCCAGGACCACCTTTCAAACCTAATAACAACAATTAACAACCTATTTGGCCATTAATGGAAGTTATTAGAGGACAATCCAGTTTGTAACCTAAAGGAGGACGCCAGAGCAATACTCAGTCCGGTGGTTTTAGTGGTGGACGACAATAGTCAGGAGGAAGATTCCAGTCGGAGAGGACTTGTCTCGAAGAGGGGCAGTCACGAAGGAACCCCAATTTGAGAATAGCAGTGATGGTGGAGATGATTATAAAGAGAACCATTCTTTGGGTAGAAGATTTCCCTTTGAAGATTCGATCATTCCATTCTTCCTAGGTGTGGTAGACCATTGATGAGAAACATAATTTGTGAAGGAGGTTTACTGGAGAATTTTGTTTCCAATGTGTAGAGAGCAGGTGTATCAAGTCATCCCAATTTGTAATCGCATTGTAGAATTGACATTTGAGTTTGATGAAGCACGAAATTGGGGAAACAAAACAGCAAGTGAGGAATAAGTGCTGGTGGAATTCTGGTTGAGAGTTGCATAAAGCACATATGTTATCATGGCTGGACATAGATTTGTTGTCTAGTGTGGGTAGCTTGGACTGAATTGTAAGCCATAGATTGAACTTCATTCGAGGAATTGTAAGGGATATCCAGACTAAATTGTGCCAATAAACAACTGGAGAGTGTTCTGTGAGGTATGATGTTGTATGCTTGAAGCTAAACTTGCCAGTTGGTGATGCTATCCAATACTTACTATCACTTTTTGAGGAACAAGGGGGATGAAGTAATAGTAGCTCTGGGATTGCAGAAGTGAGGCACGTGGGGAATGACCAAGATGAGTTTCCCCACTGTGATTGATTCATGGAATCCTGCATTGGTAAGAATTTTTTTTGGAAAGCGAGTGCAAAGAGGACCTCCTATGGGCAGTTGTCAAACCAGAATGAAATCTCTGAACCATTGCCAACTTTGTGCTTGAGAAGTAGCCTAGCAAGATGTCTGAGCTGCAAGATTTTCCTCCAACTCTAGGAGCAGGGATGTGAAAAATTGATTGTCCAAAAATTCCTTGCTTTAATGAGGTGAACTCTACATCAAGTGATCCAGATTCTTTCAGTGTCATTGGAGTGGAGGTCCCAAATGTACCTTAGAATGCCAACTTTGTTAGACAGCTCCAAATTTGGAATGCCAAGGCCTCCTTGCTCTTTTGGCAAGCAAACTTTACTCCAAGTCACTTTGGCTCCACTTGTCTTCATTTCAGGCCTTGACCAAAGGAATGCTCTGAAGATTTTATTGAGCTCATTGATGACTGCTTTGGGGAGAATGAAGATATTTGACCAATAGACTTGTGTTGAAACCAACACTGCTTTTATAAGTTGGAGTCTACCTGCATAAGAAAGAGATCTCGAAGACCAATGTGAGATTCTATTTGTGATCTTTTCAATTAGTTGGTTGCAGTGAGATGATTTCAGGTTAGTAGTGATGAGAGAAACCCCTAGATATATGACTGGGAGGGATCCAATCCCAATGCCAAAGATGGATGTGATTGTAATCTTTGTATAAGGATCAGTTCCAGAGAAGTAAACACTGCTCTTAAAGAGATTAATATCCAATCCAGACATGCAACAGAAGTGATCAAGGGCAAATTTTAGCACTGAAACAGATGTAATGTCTCCATGACAGAATAACATGAGGTCATCTGCATATGAAATGTGTGTGATCTTCAAAGGTCCACATCTCCAATGGAATTTGAAGGTTTTAGCTCTTCTTACATAATCATTGATGATAGAGGATAATGCATCCATTACAATGACAAAAAGGAATGGTGAAATGTGGTCACCTTGTCTTAAGCCCCCTTTCCCTTTGAAGTACCCTTGAAATTCCCCATTTAGAGCAATGGTGAAAGATGGTGAGGAGATGCAGGCCTTAATGAGGGAGATAAACTTAATTGGGAAGTTTGCAAGAGTGAGACATCTTAGGATGAAGTCCCATTTTATGTAATAGTTAGTGACATAGGTTATTAATATTTTAATATTATATATGTACATGTTATCACGTGGGTTGATTGACATAAGTTATATATGTATACGTTAGTTTCTATAGTTTTCTTTTCCTTTTCTTTTTCTTTTTCTACGAGGAAATAGGACTTGTGGTTTGATTAGGAATTGTATATAAATATATATATGTATATGAGTCTACTAAGGGTTGGCAAAAAACCCATTAGCAGACAACGTGAGGAGCGAGGAAACAGAGAAAAAGAAAAGAATTGGGTGTCGCCAGATTTAGGGGAGAAAGCAGAGAAAATAATTGGGTTTTCAATCTGAAAATCCTCAAGGCAAGTTTCTTTTCTTACTCTTCTCCTTTGACTTATGTATAGCCTTTGACTTGTGTTCTATACATACTTAGATTAGTTCTAGTAATTTAATTAAATTAATTGAACCTATTTGCATGATTAAATCTAAATTTACAGTTTATGTATATATTAATGGGTTTGTGTTAATAGTACGTGTTTTGATGATTTTGTACATGAATGGTAGTCTATGTGTTGCAATTATGATTATATAGTTAATTATTGTTGGTGGGAGGTCTGGGTTATAATTAAATTGATTTAATTATCTTGGATGTTAAACTCTAGATTGTTCAATTATGATTACATGTTTTGATGATTTTGTACTGAATAGTTTTAAATTGATTTAATTATCTTGGATGTTAAACTCTAGATTGTTTAATTAATTTAATGGACCTATTGTTAAATATTTTAATTGATTTAAAAAGGGTTCATTAAGGATTGGAATGCAAGATTTAAGTTTACATGCTAAGTATGGAATTTAATTAATTTTAAAAGAATAAATTAATTAAATATGGTTGGATTAAATTATTTTAATCAATTGCTTAGATTTAAATTAATTTAATTAGAATATGGAGATGTACAATTTAGTTGAGATGCATGTCAATTTCTTGTGATGTAAATTAAATGCATGCTACTTAGAATTGATATTTTTGCTCAAGTAAATGCAAATGATGTATATATATGATTTATATCATATTTATTTGGATTATTAGATGTAAATATTATTTACATTATCATTGGATTGGAAACCTTTATTTGGTTGTCATATGGATTAAAGCACCATTATGGTATGTGGGCATATTAGGGATAGATTAACTTAAGAGTTAAGTTCTACCTATTTTTAATAAGGGAACGGATTAACCATAGTGTTAAGTCCTATTTATTCATGTCAGGTCAATGGAACTGTTGGATGATATATTATTAAAATAACAATTAGATAGTTTATTTTGATGATTGGATAGGACGGATTATATATATATATATAATTATGCGCTATGCATGATATGAGCTTGAGTCTCAGGATCAGTGGTTAGGGTGCGTATATTATCAGGGATGTGTAGTTAGATATAGTGTAGTTGTGTGTCCTGGTAGGTTTAAGTACTCATACCCACTATATGTGTAGTTTTGCATGTCCTGGTAGGTCTACTGAGGTTCCTTTAGTGTGTATATATCTATATATAGATTATTTAGTTATTATTGAATTAATTAGGATGTATACGTGTATCAGGTCTCTGTTTGGGATGTCCTAGATCAGAACTTGTTTGTAGGCCTGATCCACTATTATTTTTCAGGCGTTCATCAGTTCCAGACCTAGAGGTTGTTCGTGCTGAGCAGAGATAGTCTATTCAATCTTCCGATTCTACGTAGGATTCCTCTTTATATTTTTAGTTATGGATTTGGATTATTTATTTATTTTCAATTTGTTTTATTAGGGGTCCATAATATGGATTCCCGAGTTATAGTCTAAATAATTACTGGTATCAGAGGATTTTATTATGGGATTATTTAATTATTATTTATTTGAGAATTATTTATTTAGTTTTCTTTTCAATTTATTTATTTATTCTTAATTCATCTTGTATTCCAATGCTTGTTTAAATATTAATTATTTGATATCCCTTGTATTCTGTGCTCGGACTTGATTACCCGTGACTTTAGAATCGAGGGGTATCACATATATTAAAAGATTTATTAGCATGTGGATGAGAACACCACACTATTGTATATATAACATTATGATTTTTTTTTTTTTTTTTTTTTTGGATTTTTGGGTTAACTTTAATACAATTCTAATAGGATTATTGTTATTTATATATGTAAAATTATTGATAAATAATTATATATATAATTTTAATTGGATCGAATCGGATCAGTATAATTCATATCCGATTTGTTAAGCTAACGGATTATCGGATTCGAATACTAATCGGGTTATCGAATTTTTTTGTTCAATCCATATCCGACTAATCAGATCGAATTTGGATCAGGATTCGCTCCATTGACAGGTCTAATTCCTAGGGAAGGGAGATGCCTCCCTCATTCTTTTTATTTGGTCAGATAAAATGGATAATAAAAAAAATAGATGTGTAACATTTTTTTTTTTAATTTGATTAAAAGGAAGAAAAAATGAGTTTTTATATTATTTTTAGCAATTTACCATCATTAATGTAATAGAGCTTAACAAACAAGCTTTTAAAAAAATTAAAAATGTAAATTATATATTTGTAATTATAACCTTCTTTCTCTTCCTCTTCGCTCCAATTTCGAGGAAAAAAATAAATGGAGGGATAAAGCAGGTTGTTTCTTCCCTCCTCTCCAACCCTATCTTCTCTTCTCTCCAACCAAATATGAAACAATTATTATCCCTCCTCTCATCCATCCATCCCTCCAATCAGAAGGGTGAAGTAGTGTATATTGACCAAACCTTTACCTAAAAAATTACTAAATTGCTAACTCTTCCATGGTGACGCGTCAATATTTTATTGGTCGGTTGGAAGAGACCATTAACGTAGAGTTGTCCTGCCGTATACGGGATCTATTCCCAGGCACTTAAACCCAAACGATCAGAGACCTCAGCATACACTGATTTCTTTCTGTAGCCCTTCTTCAGATCAAACAAAGAAAGGTGAGTTTCTTCTTCAATTAATTTTTTGACTTTATTGTAGTCTCCGCTTCTTATTTAGTTCTTATCTTGTGTCAAATTAGTTTGAACTCGGTTTATTCTGCGATTCTGATTAATTTTAATCGACTTCTCTCAAAATTTTCTTCTGGGTGTTTCGAATTTGGATAGAATTTGATTCTTTATAGCTCATATCAGAGTAATTTCATCAAATTTATCATATTTATTATGTATCATCGCACTTGTTTTTCTTGAACTGGGAGGTTCTTGTTACGCCTTTATATATATTGTGCTGAGTAGATTTGATTTCTGACTTTTTTTGGGGTTTTTAATAATCCATCTGGGGTTAGCAATAAACTTTTTTTCTTTGTTTTTCAAGATGGGTTACCAATGAACATAGCTGTGGGTATGAGCAGAAACCTCATGTAATGAATTGATTGTTACCTAGTTTGTGCAGGACTTCTTGTCTAGTTTTTCTTTGCCAACCAAATAGCTGGAACTGAAGTGGGCTTTTCTTAGCTTAAAATAGATTTGAGAGCTGAAGAAAAAGTAGGCGACTTTTACATCACAACTATGGCTGGGCATGAGAATAAATCTGTTTTACAGTTTGCACCTTTCCAGAGTCATGTAGATGAAGGTTTCTGGCACAGATTATCTTCATTGAAGCTCAATGAGTTAGGAATTGATGAATCCCCAATTCCCATCACGGGTATGCGACTTTATTATTCTATATTCATGTTTGAGTTTTGTGGCATTGCTCTGTTATGGTTGGATTGTGAGTTACTGCTTCCTCCATTGTGTGCCAGATCGAGATTAGTTCAAGTTCTCAGTTATGATGTCGTTTGATAGCATTTTTTTAGCAATTTTTTGTATTATTTCTTAGCCACCTCATGCAAAATAATCCCAACGGTTTGGTATTTCTTAGCCACATATATCGGGTGATGCACTCTCTTATTTTTGAAATTGAGATAGACTTACAGAAGTGCTTCAAAATTGAATATTTAAGGTGTGATTTGCATCAGCATCACAGCTTCTTAGCAAAAATTCGTAGTTCCTTTTGTTTTTTCTTACTTTATTGTTTAAACTAGATTTTCTTATTAGGAAGCTATGTGGAGATTAAGTAGGATATAATAGTGAGAGAGTTTTTGAACACAATGCATGTGTCAGGTCATTCCTAGGTTGCTTGAGAAATTGAGTTAAATGTGCATAACCAATATGTTAATTTTCCATGCCTGCCAACTGGTGCCGGCCTAGGATCATTATGATCATGGCAAGTCCTTCTCCTGTAACTCTGCAACCATCTGGGCTCGTTAACTTGGTATATATTCATATGGGTGTGACATTATGCTGGGAGCTTGTGGAAATTAATTACAGACCTTGATTATAATTTGATTTATATAGCTGTCACCTTATAGTTGCAATGAAAGTTTGCTGGTTTTGGTCCTTTAGCTTTGGGATCTGTAACAACAGGCTTTTTTTTTTGTTTACAATTACATTGATGGAAAATAAGTTAAAATTACATGTTTTTGACGGCTGACTTGGAGACTTTAAATGGTCTGAGGTGTAAAATAATCTTGGGCAGGCTTCTATGCACCTTGTTCGCACTCTCAAGTGTCAAATCATTTGACTCTTCTTGCTGAATCTTTGCCTCCTGAACGGAGTGAACAAACGTCAATACCAGCAATAACTCGTGGAAACAGGAACAAATGTTCTGTCCCTGGCATTCTTTACAACACAAATACATTGGAGAGCTTCCACGCCCTTGATAAACAGAGTTTGCTGAAGGCAGAAGCAAAGAAGGTATTGAACATTTTTACTCAAAAAGGTCATATTCTTGAGTTGTAAAATGCACTTATTATTTCTTAAGAACTTCAGCAATGGATTCTCACCTTGGTCAAGGATTTATTTCAATTTAATAGACCAAGCAACTTGAGAATGTAAATAGACAATGAGTGACCGGCCCAAAAGCGATCTGAATTTCAAGTTTTATTATTGTCCAATATTAGATTTGGGAGGACATTCATTCCGGAAAAGCCCAGGAGGACAGCGCAGTGCTTTCAAGGTTCCTTCTTATCTCATTCTCAGACCTGAAGAAATGGAGCTTTCATTACTGGTTTGCTTTCCCTGCTCTAATGCTTGATCCTCCGGCAACCTTAATGGATCTGAGGTCAGCATCCCAGTGGTTCAGCCTGGAAGAGGTGCTATGAATATGAATATTATTGGAATTTTGGCAGTTACCTTATTGGTTATGATTTTTGACATCAACGTTATTGATGTGGCATGTAGGCTGAATCCCTGTCAGCAGCTTGTAATGATTGGCGTAACTCAAACTCAACTGCAGGTGCAGTGTCTGTTCTCATCTCATACATTATTAGTTCACAAGTTATTATTACTTTGAAATGAAAGCATAAGGATATGTGTCTGTTGCAGATGTGCCATTCTTTCTAGTTGATATTGCTTCAAATTCACGTGCTACTATTAGGCATCTGAAGGACTGGGAATCCTGTCAATGTGATGGTCATAAGGTTTGTTTACATACCTTTTCAGACTCTTTGGAAAATTATACTAGCTTTTACTGATTTGACATGAATAAAACATTTCCATCTAAATGTTAATGTGGATTAGAACCTGCTATAAATTATTGAAGAAGCTCCAGATGACTCTGTTTAAGATACTTGCATGTTTCTGGCAGTTCCTATTTGGTTTTTACGATCCTTGTCATCTTCCTAATAATCCCGGTTGGCCTCTTCGCAACTTCCTTGCGTTTATTAGTTCAAGATGGGGTCTTGAAATGGTGCGGTTTTTATGCTATCGTGAGAACCGTGGTTTTGCTGATTTAGGGTTGTCTTTGGTTGGTGAAGCCTCGATATCAGTTCCACAAGGTAGAGCGGCAGAAAATGGGTAACAGCTCTTCTGATTGATACATCCTGTTTCCTTACTGCTGTGGTTTTCATGCACTACTTTTCCTGAATTTTTTAATTGTACAGGATGGAAAGATCATCAACATGTGCCTAATGCTGTGGGATGGGAACTTAACAAAGGGAAGAAAGTGCCACGGTGTATTACCCTTGCTAAATCCATGGATCCAACTAGGTAGGTTGTCCTGGTTATCGCACAATAGTCTATAGTTATTCAACTTCCTCTTTAACATTTATAGACTGACAGGTTAGCCATATCTGCTGCGGATTTGAATTTAAGACTAATGAGATGGCGTGCTCTGCCATCTCTGAACCTGAATATGTTGTCTTCTACCAAGTGCCTTCTCCTTGGAGCAGGTACACTTGGTTGCCAAGTTGCACGCATGCTTATGGTGAGTGTTTGATAATTCAAGGTTAAAACCTCTTATTCTGCTTCTAGTCATGACAAAGATTATTTGTATTTGCAGGCTTGGGGTGTCCGTAAAATTACACTACTTGACAGTGGCAAGGTAGCCATGTCTAATCCATTGAGGCAATCCCTATATACATTGGATGACTGTCTCAATGGTGGTAATTTTAAAGCCACAGCAGCAGTTAGTAGTCTGAAGCGAATATTTCCAGCCGTGGTAATCTATTTTGTCCCTTATAAGTGTATGCAGAATTCAAGACAAAGAAAAAAAAAAAAAAAAAAAAAAAAATTATGGACATGGGTTCTTTTTGTTCTCAGGAAGCAGAAGGTGTAGTGATGGCTATACCAATGCCTGGGCACCCAGTGCCTAGCCAAGAAGAGAATAGTGTGATTGAGGATTGCAGATGCCTACATAATTTGATTGATTCTCATGATGCAATTTTCTTGCTGACTGATACTAGAGAAAGTCGATGGCTCCCTACACTTCTTTGTGCCAATGCTAACAAGGTTGATCTCCTTCTGTCTCATACCTATACCTGTCTGGCCAGGCCTTTTGCTTTACCTAGGGTACCATGTTGACTTGATTTTCCGTGGGTATGAGATTCATAAACGATGCTTAAAGAAATGGACAATCTTTGCAAAGTAGAGGAATCCAACACTTGGACACACAACCACACCTACACCCATAATTGAGTTTGGAATATAGTCCCATACCTTGTATTTTGTTTTTTGGCATTTAATTCTTGTGTCAAACTTGGTCTCCATCTCGCTTCATGTTTCTGTCTCTAAAATAGTTGGATTTAGTTCTGTTGATTAATTTTTACTAATATGCTCTTATTAATTTATCTGCAGATTACCATCACTGCAGCTTTAGGGTTCGATAGCTTCTTGGTTATGCGTCATGGTGCTGGTCCTATCAGCACTAATGATGATGGTAAACCCGAAGCTGTGAATGCTTTATCTGCTAAAGTGGCAGACTTTTCCCTGACAGACAGAGAAGGAAGTCAGAGATTGGGTTGTTACTTCTGCAATGATGTGGTTGCCCCAATTGATGTAATATTCTAAAATGAAATTGATATGATATTATATTTGCGGTAGTTATATTAATCGCAGCATTGACGTTTCCGTTCTTTATGCAGTCAACTGCCAACCGCACTTTGGACCAGCAATGCACGGTTACACGTCCAGGGCTTGCTCCCATTGCTTCTTCCCTCGCAGTTGAACTTTTAGTCAGCATTCTGCATCACCCTCATGGGTAAATCTTGAAAACTATTTGAACTAAGCTCAGCTATTTGCTAAGTTCTGAGTATTGGGGACTTATTTAACGGAGTATTGGGGACTTATTTATCGGAGAGTTAGTAGCTTAAAAGAAATTATATTTTTGGTTGCTTGCCATGTTATCTACATCCTGGTTCAATTGTACATGTGCAGGATATTTGCGAAAGCTGAGTTTGCGAACTCTACTGCCAGTGGGAGCACTGAACAACCTCTTGGTATTTTACCGCATCAAATTCGAGGCTCCCTCTCACAATTTTCACAGATGACGCTCGTGGGTCACTCGTCAAATAGTTGCACAGCTTGTTGTTCAACTGTAAGTATCAGCTGATTGCAATCTCTTAAGGAAAAAATTAAGAGAAGGTGTTATTCTGCAAGCTAATGTGCTATAGACTTATAGTCCCCCGTTAGTCTTCTTGATTTTGATTTCAGTTCTCTTTGGTTCTTCTACTTAATTATTCATTCAAAATCTGCATTGGTGGTTCAAATACCTGTAATCTCTAAGCCAATATCTGGTAGTCAATAATAAATAGGTATGTGTGTGGGTGCTGTTGAAGCTGGCTCACTATGTCGACATTGTTAGGGTTTTGAATGTTAAATACCCTTGGGCCTTTCTCTGCTGGGAGAATTTAAAAACACAAAAACTGTGTTTCCATGTTTGGGGCAAAACTGATCACAGTATCCAGAAAAGAAAATGGTGAAACACATAATAATAATTTTTTGTTATGCTATCAGGAATTTCGATTACAACAAAAATAATTATATAAATTCATTAATGCTCTCCTACTTGGTTTGGACTTAAGTTCAGTCCTCTTCCATTGAGCATATCTAGTATATAATGTAACATAGATTGCATTATAATTGACGTTCTCAAGATCTTTTGACATTTAGATTTCCAGTGTGAAGTTGTAATAGATGGATTGTTTTATCTTTCTTCTTATTATTAGTATTTTTTATTTTCTTTCCGGTTATATTTATAAATTTTCACACTGTCCAGGTGGTATCAGAATATCAAAAAAGAGGGATGGATTTTGTCCTTCAAGCCATTAATCATCCTACCTATTTAGAGGATCTCACAGGACTAACTGAATTGATGAAGTCAGCAAGCGCTTTTGATTTGGACTGGGATAATGAGATAGATGATAACGATGATGACAATTGTATTGAAATCTAAGGTAACATTTTCAATTTATCGAATCCCAGCCCTTCTAATTTTATGAATTTCCATCTGCTGCAATACCTTTGCCAATTGTACAAAAACTAAAGTTTAGAATGAAATCCTTTCTTTTCTTTATTTTTCAGTTTTACCTTCAATTTAGGGATTGTTCGGGGAGTTTTGATAATTAAATTAATAAACTGTGTTATTCTAGAATCTAAATGCCCGACAATTGCTTTAATATGGTTGTATCACTATAATCCACAAAGTAGGTGGTGATGAGGTTATTAAATGAGTTTTCTAAATGCCATTGCTCTAATTGATCGTTAGGAATCTGAATATACTAAAAGAGATATCAGTTGAGGTTAGCTTGTAGGAGGTAGGCCCACCCTTTTAGTGGTGCTAATAGCTAATACCTGCAATTATACCCTACAAAATATACCAGAATATTGGAATTTTCCTTCATATTTCTTTGTTGTGACAGTAGATGCTATTAGTTCTCTCTGACAACTTTGAATGGTGAATAAAGTTTTCTAAATAAAACTTCACCCGGACCATATCTTCTTTAATTAGGAATATAATGTTGCGTGTTTAATAGAAACTATAAGAGAATTTTGTCCGTAGAGCTCTCCAAGAAAGTGGAAGATATTACTGCAAGATGGAGCAAGTTCTAAATTCTTTACACAATTGAGGTGTTGGTTATCCTATAATAATTTGTGTTCATGTTTCTGCTATATAGAATAATGAAAATGTTTCTTAGAGAACAGAACCGCCTTAAGATGGCACTTTAAGCAGATCAACATGGGTTTGTACAGATTGAAATTGTGTTATAAAATATTAGGCATGAAAGTTTCATGTGATGTGTGCAGTTCAAGTCGAGTGGCTTTCGTTACGTCCCTGCAATGGCAGCTGAATTTTTTTTTGTTCTGACGTCATATATTATGTTTTGTGAATGTGGATGTAATTTTTTGATGGCCCATTTTGAGATCATAATGCAATGGAATAGTTATGGAACCAGAAATACACCAGAAAGGCTTATGTTTTTGGCATGGTATGGTCACACCTCAGGGAAGAACTAGAACTCAGTTCTTGACTAGCACAATGCTGGCTTGAGTGCATTTGCAGCACATTCATTAGAAGGAAGAAGCCAAGCAACTGCCCCTAAAACTCACACGAGGGTAAAGCTAGCCCCAGTAGAACAAGCATGTCATGTATATTGAAAAAGGATAATGATTCGTAAACCGATTTGTCTAGCAGAATGCTTTGCATCCCGTAGATGTAGGAAATGAGACTCACATTTGAACTCGTCCAGATATAAACCTAAAAGTTTGACAAATCGGTCTAAGTATGATTACTTGTTGAAAATTGGCATCATCCCAGATTCAAGAGAACAATCATGTCTGTTACCCAAGAATTGACTCTAGGGGGGGGTGAATAGAGTCAATGGTCAATTTTTGCAAATTATAAAAATACAATTTTTAATCAACAATATAATCAATTATGTAATAATCAAGTAAAGAAAGTAATCAATTTAACACATTTGTAAAAGAGATAAGGGAAGAGAAATTGCAAACAATAACAAGGCGATTTTTGCGAGGTTCGGAAACTCCTACTCCTCGGCTCAAGATCCCTCTTGAGACTTCCCAAATTCCTTAGAACTTCTCCTTAATGGTGGAGAGCAAACCTTCAATTGAAGCAAGACCTTGCTTCTCTTTCTTGGTAGGAGAACACCCTTCTCCTAGGCTTCCTTTTGGGTCACACCAACCCTTTATAATAACTTGTAATAGAAATGAAGTGTATAATGAATCTCTTAAAGACAGTAGTACAATTTTTTGCTCACAACTAGAGTATTGATGAATATAAATGAAGCTCAAACTCTATGAATGAAATGAATGAGAGAAGATGAAATATGTGAAGAAAATAAGCTCTGATAATCTCTCAAGTGAATAATAAAGCACAAACTCTATAAGGATTCAAATAAGAGCAAAAGCCCTTTGAATGCTTGATTGAATCTCTCAAAATAGAATAAGCGTGAAATGAGAGAGAAGAAGAGAAGATATGAGAACAACAGCTCTCTTTGATGCAATATAATGTCTCTCAACAATGGTAGTTTATTTAGCATGCTAGCCCTCTGTATTTATAGAATTTTGAGACTCAATATAGCTGTTACAGGTTGTTGGGAAACATTTAATGAAAATAATTCCGTTGCAGTTCAAAACCCAGAAAGAGCCTGCTCTTAAAACAAGTGAGTCGTCTCTTTGTTCATTTATTCCTTAGAAAGAGCCTGCTCTGTAAAACAAGAGAGGCGGCTCCCTAGCTTTGAGAGCCTGCTCTATATTTCTTTGGAGCCTGCTCTTTGGTTGGAAACATTAGTCCTTCGTTAAAAAGCCTACTGGAATTGAAAAGAGCCTTCTCTTTTATTTCATGGAGCCTTCTCCATCTCATTGAGCCTTCTCTTTTATTTCATGGAGCCTTCTCCATCTCATTGAGCCTTCTCTAATTTTTCATTGAGCAGGCTCTATTAGCCTTAAGAGAGCTGGCTCTATTTCTTATAGAGGTGGCTCTTGCTTCAGGAAGGCTACTGCTGAATTGGTTTGGACAGAAAAAGTTCATGACTTCAGATGGACATAACTCAGTCCATAAAACTCCAAATGAGGTGAAATTTGAGTCTAAATTTATTACCTTGAAGTAAGCTTTCTAATGCCACTAGCCTTGCTCAAAAATTCTAAACACAGAAATGGTTATGGCCATTTTAGTGCAACCTGGTCAGAATTTTCGCAGAGCAGAATCAGTCATCTTGTGATGGTTATATCTTTCTCAATTCAAATCCTTTTTAGGTGAAATTTAAGTCTAAACTCAAGGGCTCGAAGTCAGCTTTCCAATGCCACTGACCTTGTGTAAAAATTCCAACTACACAAATAGTTATAGCAGTTTTAGTGCAAGCTGGTCTGAAATTTTCTAAGCTGAAAATAGCTTCTTTTGAGATATCCATCTTTCTAGCACCTAGGACTTTGATGAATGATTCAATTAAGTTCAAGGCCTATTTCTAAGAGTCTTGGGACATATGAAGATGATAAATTTCAAGTGCATTGTGTCCAAGAGTTATTTACCAAATTTTGGCAACAAAGGCTTTAAAGATGAAAAATTAATTCAATGCCTTTTCCTTTTCTTTTTAGAGACCAAAATAAGTATTGTGATTAATGTGCATGGTCCTAGCATTTTTAGCTTAAGTTGAGTTCTTTCAATGCTTATGCAAGCTTGAACTAACTCATTCTTAGCAAAGACTCCATATGTTAAATATATGTGTATTGAAGTTCAAAGTCTATTGCTAATGATGTAGGAGCATATGATGTATGATATGCATGGTCTTATAGAGATGAGTTTCAAATGAATTCAAAAATACTTTGACATTAAATCTTAAGCTCTCACCATCTTATCTACCCCTTTTCTTCATTCTTGACCATGATCGTTTAGGCTTGATGAAGACTTGTTTTCTTTCTTTGAAATGCTTGAATGATCTTTGAAGTTCGAGTTTTTCTTTGATTGAATATGCCTTTGATCTTTTGCAACTTTTAAGGCTTCCTTGAATCTATAGCTTGAGTATTTGTAATGCTTGGAATGGATCTTCTAGCTCAACATTGAGGATTGAATATTGATCAACTATATATCACTCAAATGAAAACATTAGTACATAAACATCATTAATGGTTTGTAATCATCAAAACATAAGATTGACCTTTAGATAAAATCCTTAGGCCAACAATGTCATGTATATTCTTAATGATCATTATATTGAATGAAAACGGAAAGATTCAAACAAGTCATCCGCTTTACTACTTCGAGACATTGGATCTAGGAGTTGGACACACTTCTCCTTTGCTGTTTTCAACTTACTAGAAGTTGGTTTTTGCTTAATAATTTTTCCCGGGAAATGAAACTAGGAACTCCCTAAAAAAAAAAATGTGTCTTGAGCTCCATTGTTTTTTTATTTTTAGAGTCAAGAAGGAAGTGTCTTGAGTCCTACTATCACATCCTTAATTTTATCCATGTCCATTTTGATAAAAAGAAATTGGGTTGAATATCAAATAAAGTTGGCAAATTATAAATATAGCGCAAGGTAAAATAAAAATGCTTCTGAATTGAACTCGTTTTATTTTTATATTTTTCTAATGAGAATTTTGTGTACAAGCAAGGAAATATTAGCCGATGAGCTCAGGTTGAAGCATATCAAGACTTAGCAGCCCTAGTGCTCCAGCCAAAGCACCAGTGGTCTAGTGACACAATATTGTCACTAACAAGGCTCAAACACTCAACCTACCCTTTTGGAGAGATTCTATTTGTAAATGCTGATTGGTGCGAAAATTGTAATTAATGGTAAATTTGAAAAAGGTGAATTGTATTAATAATCAATTGGGGTCACAGCCCCTTTCTTCCTCCAATTGAGGTTAGATGGGACTGCAGACACATTTTGGTATCTTGAATTCAACAAAATTTTGAATATGTTGTGGGAGACTCAGAATTCTTCATTAGTTTGGTATGTACTTGTAAGGGCGATTGCTAGCGCCTTTTGAATGATTCTATAAACTCCGTTTTGTCCTTAAATATTCTAAAACACGTCCATGACGAGTCATTCATCGCTCGTGTCTCTCCAACATGGATCTTCCATCAAGTGTCCCGAACATAGTTTGAGAAGCCCACAGCCACATAATCAATATGGTGGCAGTGATAAATTTTTGGGTATGACAAATGAGCATAGAGAGAGCTTAAAACATTTGAAGCATTGCGTGTGACAATAACATATGAAACTGTTTTCACAAGTGGGTTATAGTTATACCGTTTCCATTAATTGCATTTTTTCGTTGGACAAATTTGTTTTGTTTAACGTACGAGAGTGTAACCTTGTTGGACCCATCTTTCCACATACACCTAGAGAGTTGAGATCCATACGCTCACTCTCATGCCTGCTAGAAAACTCCATCAGGAAGTGTTACCAGAGAAATAAAATTTCCACTAAACTTTATAAATAATTTCAAATAAACCCTAATGTTGTTTAAATGCTTAATTATTAATAAAATTTCTCTTTGATAGGAAAAAAAAAAAATGTTTCCAAAGTATATAATATTATTACCAATGGAGAGCCCATTTGGAATTGCTGTTGGAATAAAAAAACATTTTATCAATAAAGATGTCAAAAAATTGTGATTAGTAAAAAACATGTTAGTTGTTTGGTGACATGTTATAAGAAGTATTTTTTATAATTAAATTATTTTTTAATTTTATTTTATAACAATATTTTTTTAAATATTTATATTGGTAATTTTAGAATAATATCATTTAATAGGATATTACCACATTTGATAATAGCAACTTTATTAAGGAACGGAATGCAATTGTTTTTATACAAAATAAAAAAAGACATAATTGACTAATAAAAAAGAATTATTTAAAATATTCAACTTCTATTCATAAAGTAGTTTTAAAAGTTTCAAAATTTAGCTTCATTAAAACAAACTAAATTTAGTAACTATTGAAAGCGCTCTTAATGGTTACCAAATACGGCCTTGGAGAGAGACCCTAGAGAGAAAATATATGTTAGTTGTTTAGTGACACATTATAAGAAGTGTTTTTATAATTAAATTATTTTGTAACAATTTATATTGCAAATTTTAGAATAATATCATTTAATAGAATGATACCAAATTTGATAATAATAACTTTATTACGGAAACGGAGTGCAATTGTTTTTATACAAAATAAAAAAGGATAAAATTGATTAATGAAAAAAAATTACTTAAAATATTTAACCTCTCTATTTAGAAAGTAGTTTTAATAGTTTCAAATTCTAGTCACATTCAAACCAACTAAATTTAGTAACTATTGAAAACGCTCTTAATGGTTACCAAACACGGCCTCGGAGAGAGAGACCCTGGAGAGAAAGTGCTACAACACAAAAAAGGTCCGATGGATTGGGGGAGAAGGCCCATAACTTATGGATCGCGGCCCAGATTTGCGTTAACCTAGTTGGTCGCTCCGGATGTGTAGTCCTCTGTACTTCTAGGTTTAGGGTTTTGTTAAAACCAGCCCCTTACTCTTCTCTCTCAATTATTAAACACATACAAGACACACACTGACAGTTTTAACAAACATGGATCCTTCCAAGAAGCGGAAGACCGACGAGAACGGCAGCGCATACGCCGTCAACGACACCACTCCGCCATCGAACGTTCTCTCTCCGGAAGTCGCCCTAAAAATCATGGGAGACTTCAACAGAGACCAGCTCCTCGACATCCTCAAATTCGCCGCCGTCCAACACCGCGACGTGCTCGACGCCGTCCGATCCATCGCTGACGCCGATCCCGCCAAGCGCAAGCTTTTTGTACGCGGCCTCGGGGGCGATACCACCACCGAGAAGCTCCGTGAAGTCTTCTCCTCTTTCGGCGAGCTCGAAGAGGCTATTGTGATCACAGACAAGAACACGGGGAAACCCAAGGGCTACGGCTTCGTCACGTTCCGGCACGTCGACGGCGCTGCGTTGGCCCTAAAAGAGCCGAGCAAGAAGATCGACGGCCGAATGACCGTGACGCAGCTCGCTTCGTTGGGGCATTCGGGTGCGAATGCAGGTAATGTTGTGGATGTCTCACTGCGAAAGATTTATGTTGGGAATGTGCCGTTTGAGATTTCGTCAGAGAGATTGTTGGATTATTTTTCAATCTACGGAGAGATTGAGGAGGGACCGTTAGGGTTCGATAAACAGCCGGGAAAGTTAAAAGGCTTCGCCTTTTTTGTTTATAAGACCGAAGAAGGGGCTAGGGCTTCACTCGTCGATCAAATGAAGGTGATTGATGGGCAACAGGTGATTTGTAAACTGGCTGCCGACGGGAAGAGAGGGAAGCCAGGTGGCCCGAATATGGGGGGTGATATAGGTGGTGCCGATAGACTTGGTGTGCCACCTCCTGGGGCGGTGCCAGGTTCGAATTACGGCGTACCAGGTGGGTTAGCTTCGTATGGAGGGTTCTCTGGTGGCCCACCGGCGCTGGCCCATCAAAATCCCCAGTCGATTGGTGGTACTGGGTACGGGAGCCATGGGCCAGTTGGTGGTGGGTATGGCGCTGGGGCATATGGCGGTTCACAGTTTGGTGGGTCTGCTTCTGGTGAGTATGGAGGGTTGAACAATACAGGGTCTTCTATGTATAGGTTGCCTTCAAGTTCCACTGGAATGCCTTCTGGGGGATACCCAGGTAGTGGAAACTATGGTTTAGCATCGTCTGCCTATCCAACCCAGGTGCACCAGCCATCGCAAGGTCCTAGGGGTCCACCTGGTGGGATGTATCAGGGCATGCCACCCTATTACTAAGGTAAAAATTTTGCTCCTTCTTTAGAAAACATTTTTTGCATTTTCTTCCCTTTACAAATTGAATTTAAGTATAAAATTTTGTTCCTGTTTGTATCTTAAGTTCCCTTCCTTTTTCCCACCATTTCCTGTTTGCATTGATAACAGGATCGTGGTTGATCAAATTGTTTGTTTTACTTTTACCTTAATGCTGTTTTCTGAACTTCTGGTTTTTCAATATTTTCTGAATTGTTTCCTGAATGCTTGTATTTGTAATGAATTTAAGGTATCCAAGATTATGCTACTTGGGGCACATCGTTGTTGGTTTTTTAATTTTTTTTTAATGGGCTTTAATTGATCCCAATTTATGTTGTTTTACACAATATATCTCCTTGGTCATTCCATTATTTGTTGTCTTTCCTCATCCTATCATGTGCCATTGCCCGTTGGTCATTCCCTTACTCTTTCCCCTTGTTTCCAATGGTGTCATTGCTTCGATCATGTTTCTTGCTTTATTGGTTGAAGTGGTTTCTTATTGTTTAGTATTTTGGGCCTAACCCTCTAAATAAAATCCAATCTGAAAAATCTGGTTTGACCATGATGTAACTCCTTAGTGGGACCTTTTCTGCCACTGTTAACTCTTGCTTAATTTGATGGGTCTTTGTTTTGTTGTTCTGTCACTGTTAACTCTTTGTTAAATTGATGTGTCTTTGTTTTGTTGTGCTGTGTCTCTGCCAGTCTCAGAAGGTTTCTTTGATGTTGCTTCTTGCCGTCACTGAAAGAGTTAATTTGACGTGTCTTTGTTTTGTTGTTCTGTGTTTCTGCCAGTCTCAGAAGGTTTCTTTGATGTTGCTTCTTGCCCTCACTGAATTCTTTCCATTTAGACTTTTTGACTTGCTTCATACATTCAAATTTGATAAATTGTGGCCACTTTGCTAATTATTTGACAAGAGACTTCTGTTGTTTGTTGTTTGGACATTGTTTGTATTATCTACTTTAAGTTTGAAAGTTGAGAGAGCTTTTAACTAGGGGTGGGTATGCTTAAACGGATACAAGCTAGGACGTTTATATGAGCTTTGGGACATGACATAAAATTATGTTGGTACTATTTTGTATTGGCACGTAACAATTTGGGGTTTTTCCTTTATTTTTTTCTCTATTGTAGTGTATTCACAATGTTAACATACTTATTTTGGATGGGTTTAGTGGTGGGAGAGTGGAGAGATGGCAGGGCTAGCTATCTTTTATGTTGTATTTGTGATCATGGCGGTATTTTAGTGGACATGCAACTCCTTTTATGTTTTTCATTTTTGTTGGTTTAGATTGACATGGGACCGTGTAGTGGTTCATAATGTTTACTTTTGTTGCCTCTTTGATGATTTAGTGGAACTACACATCAAGACCTGAAATACAGTTTGATATATATATTTTTTTCATGGGTTAATGTGATAATGTATTGCGTAACATTGATCACATATGCAAAGGTTAGTCTTTGTGTCTTGCTTGTAAGCCAACTTCTTTTGTTTCACTGTTCACCGAATGGAACTCTTTAACCTATGAATCCAATCTTAGCATGAAGATATCTGTTTTACTTTAGATAATTCTCTTGGTATTGCAAAATAATTATTAAAAATAGGAGGGATTTTTTTGATGTCAAATAATACCAATTGTTAATAAATTCTCACCCATCTTGATCTACTGTGGTACTTATGTATGTATTTATGTCTTTGTGCCTTGTTAACCTTGTTGTTTATGGGTCTCCAGTGTTGCTATTTAGTTTGTGATTGGTAGCATCTTACTTTTTTCTTTTGGTAAATAGGTCTGCTTTAAGAAGAGAATATTAGCGACTCCGTTAGTACTTAATTGGTTTGGTTAGGCATTGAAAAGGGTAGCATCTGACCATGTCTATTACCTTTTCTTATTTTTGTTCATGCTTTAGTGACAACTTAGTTGCTGTTTGATAAAAATGAAAATTAAGTACTGAAATTTAAGGGCTAATTATTAGTTGAAATTTAAGTGATAATCATAATGTAATTAATAAGACTTTTCCGATAAGTAATGTGTAAGGTTTGTTGTAAGATTGGTTATATTAAGATCAGGCTGTGACACATTCAACTGACTGAATTATAGGATGGAGTTTGGGTGGGTGTTGCTAGTGGATGGAGCTGCTCAATTATTAACTGGGGTGTAACAGTACTTCAATTTTTTTTTTTTTGGTTGTGGGGGGGGGGGGGGGGGGGGTGTTAAGGGGGGTGTCGAATATAGCTGCTTAATTATTAACTGGGCTGTAAAGAATTAAATTCATTAACTAATTTATTGTTTGCTAAGTATTACATTCTTTTTCCGATAATTCTGCCATTGTGCCTATTGGTAATACGTCAGTTTTGTTCTGTTGGTTGAGCGTTGTAATCTACATTAGCAATCGTTTTTCAACTGATATGTGCATATTGTTATTCAAAATAGATTGTAGTATATTTTAATTTTTACTTTTGGTATGTTTGTAAAGTCAACATTAGTGTTATCCTTTTGCTCTCTCTTCATGAAATACATTTATGGCTTCAAGGTGGTTGTCTTTGAATACATGCAAATTGCAATCATAGTCAGATTTGGTGCTTTTGAGGTTGTACTTGGGTTTGCCAATTCTACATGTCTTCTGCAAGTTTTATTGGGGAGTGTAAGATACGTTTTGCCCCCACCTAGTTTACTTCTTATATGTTTGTCATTGCCTTTCTTTACAATATAATATAATGTTTTTCAATTTGCTTGGCTCAACTTGTCTTTTGTAAAACTTCATGATTATATTGAATTTATGTTTATTTATTTATTTGTGATTATTTGAGTTAATTAAATCGGGTGCTTGCTTCCCATTTGCCATGATAGATTTGTTGGAATCAGGCCTACACTCGTATTATACAACAGTTGGGTTACTATCTTACTTTTTGTTAGCATGAACTTGTTTTGTTTGTTTGGATGTTGAATTATGGATTGAGTTCTAAATGGGTATTTGGTTCAGGTGTATGAGAGATTCTTGGGCGCAAATGCTTTAAATGGTTGTGGTGATTTGGTGATTGCAGACATTGAAATCTTTGGTTGATAAATGGACTGCTGTATACTTGTTGCTGCTTCACTCTATCTGCCCCTCTAAATTGTGGTTTTTGTGACGGCTGTTATTTAAAGTTTCCTAGAGTTAGTTTAAATTTACTTAAATATGATTGTGGTATTTTGATAACTATCTTTGTTCTTTAATATAATTCCTATTGATATTTACGTGAATAGTAATTATATGTTATGTTACATGAGTAAGTATTTCTTTTTATTTATTATTTGTTCTTTGCAATTATTGTTTCCATGACAAGGATTAGTGAGGCGTACGAGTCTTTGAATGTGTGTAACTGAAGAACATTGCTTTCAGTTACATGGGTCTTTGTTGCTTCATTAATAATTATATTATGTTAAATGAGTAAGCATTTCTTTCTATTTGTCATTTTTTTTCATGCATGAATTCTCTTTGAGAAATAATTGTTGTGGCTATAACTTGATAATGAGGCAGATTACATTTTCTGGCAACTGTTTTGCAATTGTTGTTTCCTTGACAAGAATTGGTGCACGTACCAGTCTCTGTTTGTGTATAGCTGGAACATTGCTTCGTGTTTACATTCTTCAATCCATGTGCACTTGTCTATGTTATAAAAATTGAGGCTTCACAGCTACTACGATTTCTCGGGGAGAAAATATATATCTTTATATATATGCTAATTTCTTGGAAATATGCACTGAAAATTTTCAAGTCTGTAAATTACCTTACCCCTCATTATATGTAGGCTAATTATTTATTCTTTTGGTATATTATACACACACATACATCAAGGTTGTTGAGACTGGGATCCTACGTTGGATCGTAGAGGTCGTTAGGATTGGATTGCGAATAATAAGATTATACAGAATGAGAAAGAATTAGCATATTAAGAATTCTTAAATTACAACATGAACAAGCCTCAAAACTAATTGAAAAAGATAGAAAAATTAAGGCAATTACTTTTGAGTACTTTAAACTTCCAAAACCTCGCCTGATAGCCAGCACATAAACCGTCACACAATAAAATAAAACTATATTAGTATAAAGAAATAAAATTTATATAACAGTAGCTATAATACAGTGTTCCATATTAGATGCAAAACAAAGAAAAAGAGGAATATCGAAGTCAATGGGCTGAAGGGTCCATAGTTGCTAAAGGTGTGCCTAAAAGGTGCTGGGTGGTAGGTGCCTCAGGCACAGCCTTTGTGCCTTTCTAGTACCTACAGAGGCGAGTAAAGACAGCCCCCCTCCCCTCTCTCTCTCTCTTCAGAAGCTTCTCTGTTTTCTCATCCTCCTTCTCTTTAAAGCTCTCTCTCTATTTCTTGTCTCTTCTCTCTCTCTATTTCTGTCTTCCTTCTGACAAATCAGATGTCTGAATCTGATTTTTCAAGGGCTATTTTGCAAGGCTGGAATTTTCTGTTTTTTAAGGGTTGTTGAACCTGATTTTTTTTCCCACTGTTCTGTTTAGCTGTATTTACAGTTGGCTATTGATGCATTCAACCTGAATTCTCTTTATTTACTTCAATCTGTAGTTGCAGTGGATTCAAAGGGGCCCTGAATTTCTTGACTTTTGAGTGTTATTAGTTTTGCTCTTTGGATCTATGGATATTTTTGTCTTTGGAATATGCATGTTTGCTATTTGGATGATTATCTATGGTAGGTGAACCTTTTCCTTTTTGCATCTATTTTTACCCATCTCTGATTTTATTTAGGTTGTATTTCCTTTTCCCTTTACTCGCTTGTATTCATGCTGCAACATGAAAGTATGTAAATTGTTTGAGTTGTACACATTGTCTTGAAGTGTCTGATATGTGTTTGGCAAATTGGCACGAGCAATGTGAGAGTTTGAAGTGTCTGATATGTGTTTGGCACGAACAAGACACCTTGGTTGTAGTTTTAATTTTGTCACACCTTGCTGGAGCGGTGTGTGCTCCTGGCCATTTGGTGGTATATCTCAGTCATGGTTGCACGTATAATAATTTGCTAAAATACAATGTGTATGTGTTTGTGCCTTTTTTTTTTTTTTTTTTCTTTATTTATTCACTTTCCCCCCCTATTGGTTAAATGGTCTTGGGATTTTATCAAGGCCAAATGTTCAAAATTCTAGGGGGTTATGGTTTTGTTGGCGCCCTTTCAGCACGGGCGAATGGAATTAAGGTTTCTTCTATATATTGGAGAGAGGTGCCTTCCCCCTCGTTCTAAAGACCATCTAAGTTTTCTAGTTCAAATATACGCCTTTGTGCTTTCCCTTAGGAGCATGGATGCTTTTGTCGTGGATACATGCTGGTGTCAGATATTTGAAATTTCCTTGAAATTTCTGGTCATGTGTAGGGAACATATCTGATTTGCCGGCAATGAGAAAGTAAATTTTAATAATTTTTGCTGCAAAATCAATGATGATTTTACACACTTGGACAGCCCTCCTTGGACAGCCCAACATGTAATCTAAAATACCTTGGATGTTATTATTAAATTCGCTAGAAAATATAAGTTGGATACAAGGTGGTTTTTGTCAAAAGAACCGGAGTGGGTGGAGAGAAGTCTCAGTAATGTGTGCTTATATTATATATATATCCATCCATCTATCTTTGTTCTATTCATCTATGGAGGTGTCACATCTATTTCCCATGACCATGACCTATAGTCTTGCACTTCAGTTGTATACAATAAACCATCTGATTTGGTGTCTGATTTGGTGTTTTCCATATTTTAGATTGTGGAGGTAAATTATTGATGCCATGTTGTATGGTTCCTCTTAAATACATGGATCTCTGTCTTCCTGGCAACTTAATTGTACTATTAAATTTGAGACCGGTTTTCTATCAGCTTGTGATAATGTTAGGTCTATTTGTTTTTGGCTTTGTGAGTTTATTTCATGGATAATGTAATTTGTTTGTCACTTGTCGTTTTTGTGAAGTTACATCCTTAAATCTTCTTTTTGTTGTGTTTTACCCTTTTCATAGTTGTTAGTCACTCTCATTGTAGTCTAAAATAAATCCTAAATATGATGGGTCCGTGAGAACCAAGTTTTTGTATTTCTAATTTACTGGAAATGGAAGGGTGTTTGCAGCCTTTTTAATTATTAAATTTACAGGCTTTCAATTATGAAGTTTTTTTTTTTTTTTTTGACAAGAGGGTATATATATGTATATGTTTATTTAGTTTGAATAAACCAGGAATATTGTAACAATTTTGTTATTGTGGTTGCATCTCTTTCTTGCCATTTTCCTTTTCAATATTTGACAGCGTTGTGCTCTCCTTTTTATCAAAAGGAAAAGGAAAAATCAAAATGATCTCTCGGTGGATCATAACATTTTTCAACTTCGGTCGCTCCCGGCCCCAAACAAGCATGAAGCCTCGTCAACATTAAAATTTTACCGAAATAATGAAAACGACGAGATTGACTTGGTATAGGACAATAAAAAGTATTGTTAGTGGTGGACGGAAAAGGGAGAACTAAATTGGGTGGGATGATGTTACAGAAATATATAAGCTGGTTAATTAATTTGCATTGTTGATGTATTGTAGCAATGTAAAACAGTGGCTGCTTGTTGGAGTCCAAGCATTCGAGAGTGCTGGAACGGAAGCGCGAGAGCAGCAAAATTAAGTTGCACATATTAGAAACTATGGAAGTTCCCGTGGAGCACAGAATGGAAGAAACAGGATTGTGTGCTCCATAGAAGAGAAACAAGATTGCAAGCGCACGTAGAACATGAGAGCTGGAGAAACAAGATTGTGTGCTCCATAGAATAGAAACAAGATTGCAAGCACGCATAGAACATGAGAGCTGGAGTGTGTGCGCCACTCTATTAGAGGAATTGTGCAACTTAAGTTGGAGCTAATTTGTTGATGAACATTATTCAATTGAAATGATGCAAACAACTTTTGTGTTTGTCCAAATTATGCTTTGGAGAAAGTGTTACATTTGATAGAAGTGATGGTATGTGACACTCATGGTCATTTTTGAGGGCTTGCAAGCATGTCATTGTTATTATTATATTTGCCTTAATTTCATGTACATGGGTTTTCACTTCACACCTGATGTCCAACATTTAGTCTGCAATTTCTAAGATTTTATCAAATTTATCTGAACATTTTTGGTCTATGAAATCGTAAATTGCTTGCCATGGTTATCAAAATTATTATGGGGAGCTCATCTTTTATATTGCTGTAATAAACAAACAATTGTATTAATTTGGACTAATTAATTAACATAGGCGATTTGACAAAGTAATTTTAAATTGAAGAGCAATTTATTTATTTATTTTAGGGTAGTTAGCACAAAAAAATGAAAGAAGGTAGAAAAAAAAGAAGAGGTAATTTATGTTGAGCTTAAAATTTACAACGAAAATATAACGAAATTATCAATGAGAATCAAGTATAATATTCTAATCGAATGGTTAAATTGGTCAATTGGAACTCCCATCCTTTTTAGATTTCATGTCTTGTATCCAACCATTGTGTTACAACAATTTTGGCAATTTAAAATGATATGTAGCGTGGCGGAAATTTATTTAAGCCATTCCAGATTAGGTCAATCAGAACCATCGTATTTAGGGTTAATTCTGCATGAGCTTGCATCCCTACTAATTAATCAAGTTTATATTTTTTAAACATATTTTTCAAGTATTAACGAAAAAAATTTAAGTTAGTCATTTCCTAAAAGTATCATAGAACGTTCGGTTATATCATCCTTTTAACTTTTAAGAATATATGATATGATATATAATAATTAATTTATTTTAGGAGTTCTGATAAAAAAATCATTCAGTGTGTCCGTATACGTTTCAAATTTTTATCACACTTTTGGATAATGGGTGTGGAGATCTACAACATAAACCAATTAAAAGAAGGACCATCCATTATTTTTATATTTATTATTTTTTATCACCTATACAAACACTGTCAGACTATAACTTTTGCTGAAAAATAATAACTTTAAAATGAGGCAAAAGTAATTGCAAATTGTTTGGGAGTCATATCGGCTTGAGAAGATTTGGTCAGACGACATATTATGGTAACAACATATATATACACACTCTCTCTCTCTCTCTCTCGGTCTCACAGTCACTCTTTATCTGTGTGTGAAACTTTCTATAACAAATATTACTATATATATAAACACACATATTCATTACACGTTATCAGCACGAGACTCTATCAACTGAGAAGAAAATTTTATTTTTCTTTCTCACTTCAAAGAGTAAAAAAAATAATTATTTATATTAAATTGTTGTTGTTCAAAATTTACATATTATTAAAATTGTTAAGCCTGCAGTCTCGCAACTATTTATTTATTTATTTATATTAGAATATTTTTTTCCATTCTTGAAAAGTAAATTGCTGAGCCCGAAGTCTCGCAAATACTAAATTATTTAATTTGCAAACTCGAAGTTTTGCATATATTAATATACACTTCGTGAGCCTGAAGTTTCACAAATATTTGGTACTTTTTGCAAACCCGAAGTTTCACAAAATTTGTTGGCCTGAAGTCCAAATGAATCTGAAATTCTTTGACCTGAAGTCATTTACACTGAGTACCCTTACAAACCTGAAGTTTTGTAAAACGTAGAAATATAAATTATATGTGCCTTTTAGTGTAAACATATTTTGTCTTTTTGTTATTGTTTTGTTTACTGAAAGCACATGATTAACTTTTGACATTATTTATTTACTGACAAATCACATTATAGTTACTGTAGTATTTTTATAATCTCAAATTGATTATTCTTTTTGTGAAATAATACTAACTATGTTATTTTACCATTTATAGTTCATAATGTCAAATCTTACCAAACTTGAATTTGTGGCACTTGATATCTCGGGAAAAAACTACTTGTCATGGATCCTAGATGCTGAGATCCACTTGGATGTCATGAATCTCGGTGAAACAATTAAGGAAGAAAATAATGTGTCCCTGCAGGACCGTGCAAAAACCATGACCTTTCTTCGCCATCACCTCCATGAGGAATTAAAAATAAAGTACCTCACAGTTAAGGATCCACTTACACTGTGGAAAAATCTGAAAGAACGATATGAACATCAGAAAACTGTGATTCTTCCAAAAGCTCGCTATGACTGGATCCACCTGCGATTGCAGGATTTTAAAGGTGTAAGTGAATACAATTCAGCCTTATTTAAAATCAGCTCACAATTGAAATTATGTGGAGGAAAAATCACTGATGATGATATGTTGGAAAAAACATACTCCACATTTCATGCCTCAAATGTGCTCCTGCAGCAGCAATATAGAGAGCGCAGATTTACCAAATATTCTGAGCTGATTTCTTGTTTGTTGGTGGCTGAACAGAATAATGAGCTTTTGATGCAAAACCATCAGTCCCGTCCCACTGGATCTGTACCATTCCCAGAAGCGAATATGTCATCATTTCACGGCCATGGACGTGAACGTGGACGCAAACGTCGTGGTGGTCGTGGATATGGTTGCAATAGAAATAATTATAATAATCATGGTAGTCATAATTTCTCATTGGTTCCCAGAAGGAACTCTACACCGTCCCACCAGAAGTGGAATTCAAATGCGACCAAGCAGGCAAAAGAAAAAGCTTTGCAGAACAAAGCTCATGAGATATATGATGACAAGCCTTGCTATAGATGTCGAATGAAAGGTCATTGGTCGCGTACCTGTCGTACGCCCAAACATCTAGTTGATCTTTACCGTGCCTCAATGAATGATAAAGGAAAAAGAAAGGAAATTGAAATAAATTTTATGGATGACGACTTGCCTGTTGATATTACTCACCTTGATGTTTCTGACTTCTTTGCTGATCCTAGTGATAGTATTAATCATTTGATTGGTGATGGAAATGTCCATACCAATTAATGTGTCCTTCTCTAACATGTTATCCCTTGTGTGTTTTAGCTTATCTGTATCAATATGTCTCTATCTAGGTTGTACTAGTATGTTTTTATTTTGGCTATCTTGCATGTAAATCTAGTTTGTATTTCAAGTTTGAAGTAATGAAATATATATTTTGTGTATATGAAGAAGCATGGATCTGACTAAGGCATTGACTGTACCCAAGATAAATGATGAAGATATATGTCTGGCAGACAGTGCAACAATGCACACTATACTCGAAATAGAAAATACTTTTCGTGTATAACATTAGTTGAAGCTCGTGTCAATACAATATCAGGTCCAGCAGATCTAATTGAAGGCTCCGGAAGAGCTATCATTGTGTTACAATGTGGAACACAATTGAATATTGATGATGCTCTATACTCTACCAAATCCGAAAGAAATTTATTAAGTTTTAAAGATATATGTCTCAACGGTTATCATATTGAGACTATAAATGAAGGGGGCGTTGAATATCTCTGTATTACATGCCAGAAGCATGTATTAGAAAAACTCCCTGCTTTATCTTCTGGATTATATTATACAAATATAAGAGTAATTAAGTCACATGCAGTGACGCACAAGAAGTGCTCCGACCTAAATATTTTTATACTTTGGCATAATCGCTTTGATCATCCTCGATCAACAATGATGCGCCGAATCATTGAAAATTCACATGGTCATCCATTAAAGAACTAGAAGATTCTTTTAGCAAATGATTATCCTTGTATCGCTTGTTCACATGGTAAATTAATAGTCAGACCACCTTCCAAGGTCGTCGTTGAATGCTTACCATTTTTACAACGAATTCAAGGGGATATATGTGGACCAATTCTTCCAGCGTGTGGACCATTTCGGTATTTTATGGTCTTAATTGATGCATCAACACGGTGGTCACACGTAAGTTTACTTTCTACTCATAATGTTGCATTTGCTCGACTCCTTGCTCAAATAATCCGAATACGAGCACAATTTTCGGATTATCCAATCCAGACTATCCGTTTTGATAATGCCGGAGAATTTACATCTCAATCATTTGATGACTATTGCATGTCAATTGGCATTCTTATTGAACATCCTGTTGCACACACTCACACCCAAAATGGTCTTGCAGAATCTTTTATCAAACGTCTTCAGTTAATAGCTAGACCATTACTCATGAGAACTAAACTACCTGTTTCTGCTTGGGGACATGCGATATTACATGCAGCATCACTAGTTCGTATTAGACTAACTGCATATCATAGTTTTTCACCACTACAACTTGTGATGGGTCAACAACCAAGTATCTCTCACTTACGAGTTTTTGGTTGCGCTGTATATGTTCCCATTGCACCCCCACAACGCACCAAAATGGGTCCTCAACGACGACTTGGTATTTATGTAGGTTTTGATTCTCCATTTATTATTAGATATCTTGAACCTATGACAGGTGATGTGTTTAAGGCGCGGTTTGCTGATTGTCATTTCGATGAGTCTGTTTTCCCTCCATTAGGGGGAGAAAAGAAAAAGCCAGAAAAACAATGAGTTATTAATTGGAATGTCTCGACTTTATCTCATTTCGATTCTCGCACAAATCAATGTGAACTAGAAGTTCAAAGGATCATTTATTTGCAAAGTATTGCAAATCAATTACTCGATGCATTCACTGACACAAAGAAAGTGATGAAATCACATATACCAGCTGCAAATATTCCAGCAAGAATTGATGTCCATGTAGGACAGTCTGTCAGTGTTATTGCAAATGCATCTAAGACACGCCAGAAGCGTGGTAGACCAGTCGGTGCAAAAGATACTGATCTCCGGAAAAGGAAAGCACAAGAGAAATCAAATAAAGAAATTGGAGCTCCTAAAGAGGTCACACTTGCAAAAGGAACAACGAAAATGATTGATCAATCTAAATTTTATAAGCAAGTAGCCCCAGAAGATATGCATGCCCCGGAAGTGGCACAAGCCCCGGAAGAGGCACTGGTACCTGAAAATAATGAGATCTCAATAAACTATAGAGAATTGTGGATAGAAATACAGTTATTATTAACAATTTTTTCTCCTTTGTAGTTGCTGTTGATATTGCAGGTGATAATGAGGATCCTGAATCTCAAAACGTCGAAGAGTGTCATGTAGAAATGATTGGCCAAAATGGAAAGAAACAATACAGGCAGAGCTAAACTCATTAGCAAAACGTGAAGTATTTGGACCTGTAGTCCAGACACCTGAAGATGTCATGCCTGTAGGGTACAAATGGGTATTTGTAAGGAAATATAATGAGAAAAATGAAATTGTAAGATACAAAGTCCGACTTGTAGCCGAAGGTTTTTCCCAGAGACCTGGTATTGATTATGAGAAGACATACTCTCCTGTGATGGATGCAATCATATTTTGTTTTTTAATCAATTTGACAGTCTTAGAAGCACTGGATATGCGTCTGATGGACGTGGTTACAGCTTATTTATATGGATCACTAGATAGTGGCACATATATGAAAATCCTTGAAGGATTTAAATGCTTGAAGCAAATAGCTTGAAACCACATACCATGTATTCAATCAAACTACAACGATCCTTGTACGGATTGAAACAATCCGGACGCATGTGGTACAATCGACTCAGCATTAATTTACTAAAAGAAGGATATGTGAATAATCAAGTTTGTCCATGCATTTTCATCAAGAAATCAAAATCTGGATTTGCCATTATAGTTGTATATGTTGACGACCTAAATCTTGTGGGAACTCCTGAAGAGCTCACCACGACTGCTAATTATTTAAAGAAAGAATTCGAAACGAAAGATCTTGGTAGAACAAAATTTTGTCTCGGCCTGCAGATCGAACATTTACCAAGTGGAATTCTGATTTATCAGTCAACATACACCGAAAAAGTCCTAAAACGCTTTTATATAGATAAAGCTCACTTCTTGAGTTCTTCAATGATTGTCCGATCACTTGATGTTAAGAAAGATCATTTTCGTCCTCTGGAAGAAGGCGAAGAAGTTCTTGGTCCTGAAGTACCATATCTTAGTGCAATCGGTGCTCTAATGTACCTTGCAAATTGTACCAGACCTGATATAGTATTTGCAGTCAACTTACTAGCACGGTATAGTTTTGCACTAACTCGAAGACATTGGAATGGAGTCAAGCACATTATGCGTTACCTTCGGGGAGCGACTGATATGGGGTTGTTTTATTCAAGAAAATCAAAGCTCCAGTTGATCGGATATGCAAATGCAGGTTATCTTTCTGACCCACATACAGCCTGATCACAAACAGGGTACTTGTTTACTTGTGGTGGTACCACTATATCATGGCGATCTATGAAATAGACCATGACTGCAAGTTCCTCAAATCACTCTAAGATACTCGCAATTCATGAAGCAGGTAGAGAATGTATTTGGTTGAGATCTGTTATACAACATATTCGAGAATCATGTGGACTCTCCTCAATCAAAGATAGTTCAACAATATTATATGAAGATAATACAACATGTATTGCACAAGTAAGAGGAGGATATATAAAAAGTGACAGAACTAAGCACATTTCACCAAAATTCTTTTCCACACACGAGCTCCAGAAGAGCTGTGATATCGATGTTCGGCAGATACGCTCTAGTGATAATCGAGCAGATTTATTCACTAAACCGCTTCCAACTACAACATTCAAGAAGTTAGTGGACAACATTTGAATGCGTCAACTAAAGGATCTTCAGGATTGAACTAATGAGGGGGAGCAATTGATCAAAAAGGTATTAACATACTGTACTCTTTTTCCTTCTTCCAGGTTTTATCCCACTGGGTTTTCTTGGCAAGGTTTTAATGAGGCAGTTTTAATCTATACAATACCATACACAAGAATACTGTACTATTTTTCCTTCACTAGGGTTTTGTCCCACTGGGTTTTCCTTAGTAATGTTTTAACGAGGCATATTCTTAGTGTAGTTTTGTGGACCCTAAGGGGGAGTGTTATATATATAAGTCATTATGTGGGGTTCTCAAATCTAGTAAGTCATCCATGTGATCACAATTGAAGCTTACAAAAGAAGACAGCATGAGTGGCGTACACAGAAAGCTGAATCTTATGCCTATAAAAAGGCATTGTGTATATACAGACTTGGACACTGGAATGAAAAAGCTTTCCTCTCTCTCTATCTCTCTCGTGTTCTCTCTCTGTCTCACTTTCTCTCTATCTGTGTGTGTGTGAAACTTTCTATAACAAATATTACTATATATACACACACACATTCATTACAACACACATATACACACAAATATAAAAATTTTTAATTTGTAAAATTCTCTCTTTAACTTTTCTTTCTTATGTGGTATGTAACTTTCTTTTCTTATTTTTTTTTTATTTCTTTTCTTCTTATTTAAAATTATTATTATAATTCGATAAACATGATTGTAATCGCCTTCAAAATACAAAGACTTGCAATTGTACTAAATGAAAATAGGGTAAAGTACAAAAATCTCCTCTCGACTTATAACATTTTCTAATAAATTATGTCTAATTTTTTACTAAAGAACCACCCTTAACTATCTGAGGGGTTAAAAAGGTGGATACTTGGACCAAAATACCCTTTTTATTTAAATTATAATTAGCCCAAATTTCAAAAATCCATATCTCATAAACTGTACCTTCAAAAATTGTAAATAATATATGCACGGAAAGTTTATGAAATAAAGATTCATAACTAGAACGGGACTTGGATCCTCTAAGTTAAATATTCTCTAAGTTATCCTAAGTTGAATTTGCTACAGATTGACACGTGACATTTAAAATCTATTTACTGCTTATGTTAAATCACTTTAACTAATTTAAAGAAAGTTTGAAAACTGCACCGTTTTGAAATAAGGAAAAAATTACCAAAGTGTAAAAATTGTACCGATTTGAATTAAGGAAAATTCACCATACTCTAACGATGTTTAATGTCGTTATCTCTCCCTCATTTTTTCCAAAAAAATTCCTCGCGCCTAAAATGAATGAATGTAGTAATGTTACCATGTTCCACCATTTTTCATTTTCTGGAATTTTTGTTGTTGCAAGGGCTTGTCTTTTTTCGTTTTGCGTACCGGACACCGTGGGGTGTGCCGGGTGTGTCCGTGAGTTGGTTGGGGTATTTCATTGAGTTTAGGATCCATTGAAATGTAATGTTTGTCATTTTTGCATTTTTTCATTTTTCGGGTCGGACGGTCCCGTGTGGGACCCGCTACCGGAATTGTTGTATATGGAGATTTTATTGGGTCTATTTGCATCTCATATATTTTATTTTATGTGGTATTTATGTGGTTTGTGTGCATATATTTTATTTTATGTGGTATTTATGTGGTTTGTGTGCATATATGTATAAATTGTGGTTGAAGATTAAATGAAAATGAAAAAGACTTTTCATTAGTGGACCCAATTTAATCTTCTACCACAATTTATACATATATGTGGTGGCTTAGAGACTAATTTGGTCTCATTTCTTCTCTCTCCCCGTAATCCCTCTCTTCCTCTCACCTTTTTTTTTTTTTAAATCTTAAACTTCAAGTTTCAATTACTTCTTCAGTTCTTAAAATTTTTGGGTGCCGTTTGCGGCAAATCGGAGAGCACGACAAGATTTACGTGTGAGTACAAACAATTCCTTGTTTGGTGCACTCTAGGGATTTCGAATTTAGGACCCATTTTGAGGGTTTTTCTACAAAATTGAGGTAGGGGTTTCTAATTCCCAATTTCTTGCACCTTTGTGAATTTTTGTACAATATTTGTTGTCAAGTATGCTTAATTTGAGTTGATTGCCTCTAAAATGATTTAATTGTTGTGTATGAAGTTCATGACTATGTATATAAGTGATTTGTGTGAAAAACATGCTTAAGTGTTGATTTTATATGTTTATGTGCTTAGTAACTTGGTAAAAATTATTATGTGGATACAAATTTTATGAATTTATGAAACTCCTTATTGTCATCGCATTGTAAGGCATTAGATATTCATGCATATCACTGCTACAATATTTGTTGTCAAGTATGCTTAATTTGAGTTGATTGCCTCTAAAATGATTTAATTGTTGTGTATGAAGTTCATGACTATGTATATAAGTGATTTGTGTGAAAAACATGCTTAATTGTTGATTTTATATGTTTATGTGCTTAGTAACTTGATAAAAATTACTATGTGGATACATATTTTATGAATTTATGAAACTCCTTATTGTTATCGCATTGTAAGGCATTAGATATTCATGCATATCACTGGGCTTAAACAGGGGAATTGATTTGAAACGAAAGAAAAAAGGAGCTTTGGGGAAGGTTTTAATTAAAGGTTTTTTTTTTTTAGAAAACCCGGACGCCGAGAAGGTACTGAGGGTTCGTGGCGTTAATGTAACCTAGAGGGAATTAGGAAAATTGCCCAGCATTGTTGAGCTATCTGAGTCCCAAATGACGCCGCGGGGTTACCAAGGATCAGGGACAGTAATCAATTCTTCTCTCATGTCGCCGAGGAGTCACTGAGGGACGGGTTATGTTAACGGTTTGAAAGGTGATTTATGATTTTGAAAATGGGGAGCGACATGGCATGGCATAGCATTCCAAAGCATTCCATAGCATCACATTATTCATTTGGACTTAAAATTGATGTCGTATTTCTCCAGCATAGCATGATCCCGTTTTCTATACTTCTATTCATTTGTTTGGATTCACAGGGTCACAAGAGGTGTGTTTTAGGCACTACTTACTGAGCAATTTACTCACCCTTTATATTTAACATTTTTAGGACATGGAAAAGAAATGACGGATGTTAATCTACCACAGCCTTAGCTTGGACTAGAAGACTACTTTTGGTGACCTTTTTGTAAATAGATCCCATTTTGTAAAGCCTTGTATAGCATGTATAATTTTTGTAGCTTGTGGTTGTACTTATAATTTCATGATAGCTAATGTTGTAAACTTGATACAATGTTGTTACAACACTTGTGAATCATATTGGGATCATGTATTGGGCATGTAAAACTTGTGTTTCAATTGAATGGAATGTAGTATGTCATTTACAGTGTGTTAGAACAGGTTTTGGGTGGATTGCACAGCTTCCACATAGTCCATTTTCATTTCCATAAATCACAGCAATCCAGTAGTTGATTCACAGTTCGAAGGGCCATTTCGGCCGACCGAAATGGGCACTTCGGTTGGCGGAACATTCCAGTAGCTCCAGCAATTGTTTGGCCCACAACCGGTCGACTGAAATGGCTACTTCGGTCGACTGGAGCAGACCTCATTTCGGCCGATCGGAGCTTCATTTCGGTCGACCGAAATGAAGCTGTTTGGGAGTACTTTGTTCCTCCTTTTACACGATTAGTCTTTGAACCTTGAAAAGGTACTTAGAACCTTTTTGAAGCATAATTAAGGCATAATGTTAATGTTGACCCTAGACATGATGGAATTTGACTCAGGTGACCTCCGGTTCGGGTAAGGACCTAGTTAACGGTTCGGACCTATGGGTTCGGTCGTTACAAATATTCTTTACCATGGAATTAAGATGAACGAAAATGTGATTGCAAGATATGCAACTTTTACTGCAATAGTAATGATTGGAAAATATATATATATATATATATATATATATATATATACAAGCATGGATATTGATGGAGTTACAAAAATATAACTAAAAGCCCTATATATATAGAAAAGATGAGAGAAAACGATGAGAGACAAGATAACGACGTTAAACATCGTTAGAGTATGGTGAATTTTCCTTAATTCAAAACGGTGCAGTTTTTAAATTTTGGTAAATTTTTCTTATTTCAAAACGATGTGTGACGATCTGAAAATGAGATGCTCTGACTACCTGTGACGTTTAGAATTTTCACAAACCCGGATAGTTAATGTGACCCGAAAGTTGACCCGATAACGAATCTGGAATGTAGAATCGGAAACAAAAACAAAATCTATGGGGATGATCGGTATCCCTAAGACGTCATGGTGACTTTCCATGAGTTACGGAAACAAAAGAAAACAATTGTGGAAGCAAAAAGGTGAAAATAGACCAAGTATGTCCTCAAGGGCAAAATGGTCATTTCACATGCAACAAAGTCTCAAGAGATGTACGTTATTTCTAAGGCACAAACATGGCTTCCCATGAAGCCATATAACTTAAAAGAAAACAAAAATGCAGAATCGATGTTTTAAAAACGAACAAGTTTAACAATTTTCAAACTTTTTCTAAATTAGTTGACGTGGTTTAATATCAATAGTAGATCGATTTTAATAGCGAATTTAACTTAGAATAACTTAGACAATATTTAACTTAGAGCGAATTCAACTTATGATAAGTTGGAGAATATTTAACTTAGAGGATCTAAGTCCACCAAAGAGAAATAGGCAATCTAAAAATCTGCTTTAGCAGTCTCATTTTATTTTTAAAGAATAAAATAGACTTATTCATTTACCATAAAATATAAAAAATTTAGCTGCGTCAAAGTATTTTCATTTTTTTTTTTAATAGACTCACCATTTAAAAAAAAAAATCAAAATAAATATTCTGTCTCTGTTGGGGCTAATTTTTATTTTTTTATTTTTTTATTTTTATTTTTTTTATTTTTTTATATATTATGCTCCATATGCAAATGAATAATTCTGAAAATTTCTTTGCAAATATCCCGGTAATCCTTAGATTGCCTATGTCATAGTGTTTTGTTGAATAAATCTTATATTTTTGTAATACTTATTTCATAAGCTTTCCGTGCATATATTATTTGCAATATTTAGAAATACGATTTGTAGATATGAAATTTTGAGGTTCAAGCAAATTGGAATTTACATTAAAAAAAAAGGTATTTTAGTCAAAGTATCCACTCTTGAGAGGGATTCTTTGATAGAAAATTAGAGAAGGAGATTTATTGAAAAAGGCTCCAAGTAGAGGGGGTTCTATACATTGCCCACGAAACTATTACGAGTTCTTATATTTGTGAAGTATTTTTATTTACATATTGAACAATTATTTATTTATTTATTATTATTATTTTTGTCTCCCATTGAACAATTCATACTTATCAATGTTAGTTGGATTTTTTAAATTTTAATTTAAATTTTTTTTACATTATGCCCGAAATTCCGACTCCGCCCCTGTGCATAACAAAAGTTACAAAACTCTTTTTTAAACACCGTGCTATATGAGTATGTTTTAACGAATTTCAATATTTTTTACTATTGAATTTCAATATTTTTTACTATATGAGTATCTTGCTATGCATGTACACTTGTATTATATATATAAGAATTCTAATAGCAAAGAGATTGAACTAAAAGAGTTCGATAGAGAGGATCAATTTGGTAGGTCTGCAGATTTTGTGATATAGTTTAAGAAGGATACTAATACTGCAATTAATAATTCTAATTTAATAATACAGAAATTATATATATAAAATATAAAGACCCCAAGTACGTACTAGGTATATATAAAAATTATAAAATATAAATATATACACCCCTGACGTACAAGTTGTTTTCAGATTATACTTCGAACACTGTATTCATGAGGTTAGAGCTTCAGTGAATGACCATGTCCATGGTCCCCTAGATATTCACGTTTTCGGCGTCTCTCCAATTTCCGAAATTGTAAGTTCTGTAACTTTGATTTGGAGAAGATTTACTATTTTTTCTTTCAATTTCATTAATCAGTGTGAATCTGAAGTATTTTCACATGATGTTGAGATGAATTTTGGGTGATTTGTAAGTATTGATTTTTCATGAACATTTATTGTTTTTGTGGAAAACATCTTCGCAATGGTTGTTTAGTTCTGTTTATGCATTGAAATATATCTCTATGATGTGCTAACTATTATTTTAGTTTCTTACCCTTTTAATTGATTAATTTATAGTAATACCCTAGACATTTGTTAGAAAGATCTTTGTTAGATTTTATTAGAATGTTGGCGGAGTACTCCAGTGCATGATTGTTTCAGGTTGTGAATTATGAAGCTAATTAGTGTTTGGATTTTTATTTTTTAATTTTTTTTTCTTTCAAAAATACAGTATTGTTTTCTGATCTAGAAGATGCTATGATTAGGCGATTTCAAATTGTTCTACTATTGGCATTTGAAGTTAGGATTGAAGGATACTTGTAATTCAACTGCTCTTGCTTCTATTCCTTTAAAAAGTTGGGTTTTTGTTTGGTTTTCCTTTCCCTTTTTGGATAGTTTAGCGCACATACCCAACTCAGACACACACAATTGTGTGTGAAGATGATGTGATACCATTTTAGCTAAAACCTTGATGGTATTCACATTGAGGGTGGGCCTTGGCGCAATGGTAAGATTGCTCAATTGTGACCTGGAGGTCACGGGTTCAGATAAGGCTTAATGCTGCATACATCTGATCCTCCCTAGACCCCACAATGGTGGAAGCCTCGTGCACTAGGATAACCCTAATCCTCAGTGGTATTCACATTAGGTTTACAGGTTGAGTACTTGAGCTGTAAGAAGGTTCCAAAATGTGGCTGTGGTCTTTGTGCTTATAAATTTTTTTGCACCTTGTCCAAAAAGATGCCTATATGCAATTTTGTAAATCAAGAATCCAATAAAAATATGTGCCTTAATGCTTCTTAGTGGATTTGTTGAAATGACAATAAATATGGATTCTAAAGTAAATCAGTAAAAATAAAAGAACTATTCATTCAAGTAAATCAGTAAATCATGATTATTAGTAATTATACACATAAGTTACTATCATCTAATATACGTAATCAGTAATAAATTATAGGTACAAACTTCACACAATTGTATATAAAATTATCAATACTATACTATGTAGTGTAAAATCCATCATTATACTAGTTGTTTATAACTATTTATACAAATATCAAAAGAAAAAGAAGAATTAATTATACAAAGAAAAATTAAATAAACTAGAAAAATTAAATTAAATTGAAAAAAAGAAAAAAATCAATAAAAATTTTAATAAAAATCCAAAATTTAAATTTTATTGAAAACTGCAACATTTATAACCTATAACGCTCGCGCGCACACACACACACACACAAAATCATTCAACATGATTGTCTGAATGGTAGAAACTTACTTCTTTGAAGAAAATTCAATATAATTGAGAAAATATGAGTTTGGAAGTTATTGAGAAAATCCCAAGAACAAGACTTAGAATTTATAAGTCTTACGTTTTACACTTCTTTTGTGTTTAGCATTTATATCTAAGTGAAAAACCAAAAATGAGAAACAAACTGATTATTTGAAGTATTTGATGGCTTTGTTAAGTTTTAGATGAATCTCAAGTTTTGTGGGGTAGATCTAGCCTCTAGACTTTTTGGAGTGTGTAGAAGTTAACCGGGAAAAAAATCAGAAAAGAATGAAAAGTTTGTAGTTCTATGATTCCAGGCTCTTCTGACCATTGCAGAGCTGTAATTGCCGAGTTTGTGGCAAAAACAATTAGCACCCAGATATCAGTGAGACTTTCTGGCTGCTGAGTCCACTACAATTCCATTGAGTCACACTTTGACGGTCAAGTCTTGAAAATTTAGTTATACCTCAATCAAATTGCATTCTTGTCTTATGATGATTGGCTGTGTTTATCTTACATAATGGATCTCCTTGGAGCATCATTTCATAGCTATATTTGCTCACAAAATTGCTTAGAAGTAAAAAAAAAATGGCGGAATCATACAATCTTGAGAGAAACAGAGTCTATATAGGTCAGACTTATTTTAATCCCCTGCAATTCATAAAATAGTTATATCCGTAACAACTAAATTATTCAGTTTTCCCCCCATTTTCTTTTTAATGAAATTCCTAACATGGAACTAAGTTTGGTTGGTTTTACCTCAAACATTAGCATCAAGTTAGGCTTCATAAGTTTATTTAATTAAAGTATATGCATAGTTGCAAACAGCACATTTGAGTAAAAAAAAAAAAAAATCATTTCCATGGAGAGTCTTGTGTTTGGATTAGTTGATCTAGCCTGGTCTGCAGTAGTTAAAAGTTTCTAAGTTTCCATATATTTGAGTCTTTTTCCTAATAAGTGTGTCAGAAGCCCAATGTCTATATGTACTTGCTCAATCTTTATATTCAACAGAGTTAATTTGAGATTTGAAAGTAACTTTGAAGCTTTGTATGACGTGTTACTAAATCTTTCCGTAGGAGTTTTAAGAATTGCTGTTCTCAGGTTACTATATGTTGCCACAGAACAGCTATATGATATTCTCAATACTTGACCCTACCAAGCTCTAAATCCCTATGTCATTCTCAAAACTATTCCTTACTAAGAAGCTCTAATAAATCCTAGGCCTTTCCCTTAGTTTTTGCTGTCTATTTAAACACACTAACACCATACTTGGTTGCTGCCTAGAACTGCAACCTGTTGCATTTTAAACCAAGCCAAAATCACAACCGCTCTCATCCACAAAGCTTACTGATCTCTCCAACATATAAAACTTTTAAACTAACAAGCTTCCTGAAACAAAAACCCACTGCAAAGTCATGCATAGGAAGTTTTATTCTGAGTCTCCTACAGCTGTCTTACATCATGATCAATGCGATAGATAGTGATTATTGAGGGAATTTTTGTAGATTTTACACGGCTAAGATGTTTAAAGGATCATCAATATTGGATTTAATTATGAGCGTTTCTGTGTTGCATTTGACTTCGTTCAGGAGGTGCACTATTAAATTGAATTTAGTGACAACTAGCAAATTTTCAGCCGACATGTTATGCCCTAGAGTCTGTTATCTCAATGTTCTGCCTACTTTATTCTGTCCTGTCATTTCTACCATTTTTTTGACATTCTTTTTGTTTCACCTTGAGTCTCTTCCATTACAATACTAGCTCTACTCTTCAGGCATTGAAAGCAAAAAAACACCTGTTGCAGTTAGCTATGCCTCGATGGGTGGTATCAAGGGTACCACTCATTCCCCCCCCCCCCCCCCCCCATCGCGCGCGCGGGAGTCTTCATACTTGATGGAGTGAATTCTACTCTATGCTCTGACATTTAATGGTCAAGGGTGGCCTTCTGTACAACAACAATGGTTGTCCTTGGGCATCCATAAATAAATACACACACACACACACACACACACACACATGTATATTTATAGGAGCATTTTTTTCCTTTCTCCTTTTCTTTTGGGTAGACCATAGTCATGTAAACTATTGAGTTTGTTTAATTATTTGTACCTTGAGGCGATTCTTGAGCATTTACCTTGTTGACGCTGCACTTGCTTTGAAGGAATTTAGCTGTTTCATTCATGTTATATATATATATATATATATATTTAGACAGGTGATACTGCTCTAGGAACTTACATCTCACCTGTTCATTTTATACCTAATTGAGAGAATTGCATGGCTGCAGGTGTCTATCACTCTTTGAGTTGGAAGTGAACAAATAAATATTTGTTCTTTTATTCCCTGGGAGTGTTGTTGTTCGTTTTCAGTATGGATTTTAATGGTAATGGTATAACATGGGCTGGGATATTCCAAAAGATTGAAAATCTTTTCATGGAGGTGGATGATATGGTATCTGAGGTAGTGCTTCTATGTGTACCTATTTTCTGCTTTAGACTCCTGTGATGTCGTTATTCTAAATGTTTGTTTGGTATTCTACTGATTCTATTATTCCCTTCCAACCCCCCTCCTCCTCTTCTGAAATGGTAAATGATCCGTTTATCATGTTATTGTGGGCGTTTTGAATTTTGACTCTGATAATCTGATACTTGGGTTTTAATTTGTAAACTTTTGCATGTGGCCTACCCCACTTTCCCATGGTCCTCAAATTCGTTCAGAACTCATCATAAAATCTTTCTCCGAAATTTATCCAACTACTCAAATTTCTGCTTTTTTAAATTTTTTTTATTGTATAATATTTCATTTTCCTAAAATGATAAAACAACAGAGTTCAAGCCCCAAATTTTATGATTATTTATTTTCATAATCAAGTAATTGCAAGTCTTGTCTAGGTGCCTGTGGATGATGGATCAGTTGGTCATGTTATTGTAATCTGATTGACCTTCAAATTTATTTAAGTGCCTGTGGCAAATCTGATCATGCTGAGCTTTTTGTTAAACCATGCTCTTTTTAAATGAGCATTGTGTTGCTTATTCTGCCTCCATCTTTTGAATAGTTGCCTTACTACTACTTAGCTACATTCATAAATAATTGCTCCTGAAACTGCTAAGAAGTCTTATAACATTAATCGCCTAACTGCACAGGAAATAGTTTATATATATATATATATATATATATTTTTTTCCAGACGCACAGGAAAAAGTTAACTATGTTGAAACTTGAAAACCAGTTTCTGACTCTGGGTGCTGATGTTAAACAGTTATGTTCAGATTTTTTGCATGATATGTTCCCTCCAATTTTAGTAGATTCCATGAAAGGAGCAGTTTCTGATCTGTCTCTAGAAGAAAATAAAATTACCGAACTTGCAGCCCATGAAAGCTCAGAGGAATTTGTTGAAAAAGATTCTAAAAAGGGGCTTTGGAATGTAAATTCTTTGCCCCATTCATGGATGCATGTTGATTCATCTTTGGAGCAAAATACTGAGATTGGGAAGGGAAATTCTGTTGAAGAGATATGTTCCTATGAGATTCCAGAATTAGTTGCTCATGCAGAGAAGGATTCAAGCATCGTGTTATTGTGTCATGAAGTCCACCAATCCAATCAAGAAGAAAAATGGGATGGTCAGATCAAATTGTTAACTCCAAGTTCATTTGAAGGGTGCAACTCTTCCCTTGAAGAAGGAAGAAGTCGTAACATTGTGAATGCCACAACTAATATTACGACTGCCCTTACATTGGCCAGTTCTGCTCTTTTGGTCGGTTCCATTGAATGTGAAGTTCCAGAGAGTGGACTGACTTCTCCTAGTGATTTCTTGTCAGCTGTATCGAGGGGTAGGTATTCCATTAACTTATTTGTTTTTTTATTTTTATTTCTTGTCTATTTTTCTCTATATCTTTCTTTCACTTCACTTTATTTCACTTTCACTTTCTATAAAATTTTCTGTCTAACCAAACGGAGCCTACATTTCTGGTATAAATCTGTGATAAAAGTACTCTGGGACTGGGATTGAGCTGTTTGATGTATATATAGTATATGTATCTAGCTTTAATATTACTACCAAATTGTAATTCATTCTCTTTAGCAAACAGATAGGAAAATCTGGTTGCTCATTTTTCTAGGTCTGCTTTTTGTTCGAAAATAATCCATTTCCTTGTTCCTATACTTCTATATTCCAGGTGATGAATAAGTATTCTGTTGTTAAATATGTTAGTTCAAATGTTCCAGAAGCTAAAGACTTGTTAGCTCTCTGGTTTCTTCCTTAAAAAGTAAAATAAAAATCCCAATAAATTATCTCCTCCTTCGGTATTATGTTATGGAAAAATCGGATTATACAGATACAGAAGAGGAAGATGATCATGTTATTAAACCAGGCATAGAAACATTTTCACCATATAATGGACTGAAGCTTGAAGATAGTTGCATTTTCGTGGATAGAAGTGAAATGTGTTCAATTCCTCCCAAAGCAGCAATTCCTCAGTCTCACAAGGTGCGCCTCTGTCTTCCTTCATCTTCATATTCTGGTTGCTTTGGTCCCTTAAGAAAGTCTGAAGTTGCATAAACAATGTTGTTTAAACTACGACTTTCACCTGCATGGAATTAAACTAATATATCTTTATCCTTTTACTTTCAGAAAAATTTTCGGCAGGCTGTTACTTCAAAATTGAAGTTAGCAAGAAAGCAGCAGGATCGCGATCAACAAGCATCTCGTTATGCAGGTCAAAGTCGAAACAGTAAAGAAAGTTTTGCACCATCCACACTCATTGTAAAGTTGGAGTCGTCGGATAATGATTTTTGTGAATCGGAGTGGGAGATCATCTAGATAAATTAACTTTTTAGCGAGTCTCTTGTTCAAGGTTTGTCAGAGAGTCTGAAGTTATAAGGCACTCCTTAAATGTGAAAAGACACAATGAGGTAGAGGGAAAGGCTGGCAAGAATTTTTGCATTAGCAGGAAAATATAATAATAAATTTAGCATGAATTGATGCAAAACACATAGTTTCTCTGAAGCCCTATCAATAATATGTTCTTGTTTTTGTTGAGCATGATAGTTTCTCTGAAGCCCTATTAACAATATGTTCTTGTTTTTGTTGAGCATACCAAAATGTATGATTTGTTATTGAAATTTGGGAACCCATAATTAACAAATTGACAAGGCAACAGAAAAAATATGATATGAGAATTTTTTGAGGCAGTTTACTATAGAAATTGACGAAGACGTTCACGAATGAACAAGAGGACAACTCTGAATTCATAAAGTTGAGAGAAATTTTTAAGGTAATAGAAAATGACAAATGAACAAAAGAGTAAAAAATTACAGAGAAGATGTATTATTGATAATTAAATTGGTTATTACATATATTCATATTAGGGAAACCTTTAAGTATAGGAAACTAAAAAAAAAAAAACCTAGCATAAGGAAACTAAAATTACAAGGAAATTAAAAGTGAACATGACAAATGCTTTCCAGCATCCAAAGGGTTAGTTTGGAACGTTTGGTATATATGAGGAACATAAATTTAAATCTAATTCTAAGAAGAGAGTTCAAGCAAATCTAAATTTGAATGACAATAGTACTCAAGATTGGTTTCGACATTCAAGCAAGCAATAGTAGCGAGCTATTCAAATTTTTTTTTTTAAAAAAACATTGTTAAATTATTATTATTATTATTTTTTACCAAATAACCCTTCAATTTGTTTTTGAAATTTTACTATTTTGCCTTTATTTATACCATACGCAAAAGGACATTTTATTTATTTATTTAATTATTTAATGTTTCTATAATCTCCACAAAGGACACACGCCTTTATTTATTTATCATCGGAGGGTCGATTTCAGCTAAACACCCAACTCAAACAGGGTCACATGTCAGAGAGCTGTAATTCTCGCCAATTCTCATGGCTCGTGAAATCATGTTTCCCAAATCCACAACAAGACATCCACCACAACCACCGTGTGGTCACCACCTCACTCCACAGTACCACCGCCGGTAAAGCGTCGACGGAGGACCAATCTATCTCTTCCCTCCCCCACGACCTCCTCCTCGAATGCCTATCTAGGGTTGCACATTCTTCCCTCTTTTCCATCTCCCTCGTCTGTCGCCGCTGGGCCCATCTCCTCCACTCCTCCGATTTCTACCAACTCCGACGTTGCCACGGCCGTCTCCGCCACACTGTCTTCGCCGTCGCCGTCACTGATTCCGCCCTCCACACCGCCAGTCACCGTATCGGCCACGATGCCTCCTGGAAAATGGCTTCCTTTACTGCGGAAGATGTGCTTTGCTTTCACCATTTGTTTTCCCACGCACGCCTATCGGCGATTGGCCGTCACATTTATATCATCGGCCGAACCGCAATGCTCCGGTGCGATACTTGGACCGGAACCGTGACTGCGAGATCGGGAATGATCTTCCCTAGGAAGAAGTTCGCCGCCGCCGTTGTGTACGGGAAAATATACGTCTCCGGCGGAGCTTCCCGGTCGTCGGCCGTGGAAGAATACGATCCGGAGACGGACACGTGGCTAACAGTGGCCGACGCGCCGAGGAGGCGCTACGGCTGCATTGGCGCATCGGTTGATGGCGTGTTCTATGTGATCGGAGGGCTGAAGATTGGCTCGTCGGGAAACGAAAACTCACGCGCCGCTGGGGCGGAGGCGCATGTGTACGCAAGCTCAATGGATTTGTACGACGTGGAAGCGCGTGGGTGGCTCAGGAGTCGATCGGTGCCGGGTGGCGGTTGCGTGGTGGCGGCGTGCGCTGCGGAGGGACACATATACGTGCTGGCGAGCCATGCTGTGGAGCTGTCGTTTTGGAGGTTCGGCGCGCGTAAGAAGAGTGGTGGGGGTGGGTTTGGGGAGTGGTGTAGAGTGAAGTCTCCACCACTGCCGGCGCAGTTTAGACTGGACAGTACAGTTCGGTTCAGCTGTGTTGGGGTTGGGGACAAGGTGGCGCTGGTACAGGTGATGGGTTGCATCGATGACTTGTTGAGGAGGGGTGGGAGGAGCACCAGAGGGTTGAAAGAAGGATTGGTTTTGGTGTACGATTGCGCCGCCGGAGAGTGGAGTAGAGAGGCGGATCTCCCGGAGGTGATTCGACGCGCCGCCTGCGTTTCTGTTGAGTGCTAACATGCGCTTCGAGTAGTCCAATGCACCTTTGTCTCGACTGTTTGTGGACGTGTTTTGAAAATTGATTCGCGTTTTGACGCGCGAGGGTATTAATTATTAAAGTAATTACAAGTTGGGCCAAATCGAAGGGTATAATTGGTATTTAGGGTAATTATTGGAAGTTGAGAAGATAAAAGCGCCGTATATCTAGAGAATGGATTGTGATCTGTGTATTGTCACTGATGATATGTGGGCCCTACACGTGGGCGATAGATTTGTATGGTTCTTTGCCTCATTTGGAACAGATTAAGTTTCTAAAGTTTTATTATTCAGATTTTGACTTTGGGCTACTTGTATAATTGTATTGGACTAACTTAATCTAAAATTATTAAGTTAATCTATAAAAAAAAAAATCTGCAGATCTCCAGTGTTCTTGTCCTTTTACTTTCAGTTTCAGATGCTTTCACGTTGTGAAATTAAACTATTATATATGTAGATATGTGTGAAAAAATTAAAGTAGAATCAATCACGTGTGAAAATAACTATTATATATAAGGACAAAAATCACTCAGACTGCCAATATAAGGGTAAATTGCGTTGACACCCGGTCACTCAGATGGGTTCCGGAGATTTAATGTCACTTAGAATAGTTTTTTTTTTTTTTTTTTCAAAGGCAAGAAAATCTTTCATAAGATGAAATTAAATATGAATACAATCCATATAAATTTTCTCTTTTATGAAAGTTGGGAAAAAATTAGAAAAACATATAGTTTCTCTTCTCTGCATAGCATACTGGGCAAGACAATGAGCCAAAACATTTGCCTGTCTCTTCACCCAACCAATCTTCCATCGATCATGTAGTTTTATATAAGCCTGAATATCTCCCCAAATAGCTTCAATGTCAACTGAAACTTTTGATGAATTAATCACCAAACTACAATCTCCTTCAATCTCCACTTCTATTAATTCCCACGCTTGAGCCCACTTTAAGGCTAATCTTGCAGACATGGCTTTAGCTACTAATGCAGAAGCCACGTTTGGGAAGAAATGGATCACCGCCTTTAAAACCTTACCCCTACAATCACGCAGAACTAAGCCAGTAGCAGCATCTTTGGTCTGATCTCTATAGGCAGTATCAAAATTTAGCTTAAATCCATTTTCTGTAGGAGCTTTCCATCGCACAACATTAGATTGAGAGGAACGGCTTATCCTAGCTTCATGGCCGCCTTTAATAACCTCTTGATACTCATTCCAATGGTGAAACGCTAACTACATTAGAGCCCTCTCCCCAATCTCTTTCTGCTCATAATAAAATCTATTTCTACTCTTCCATAAATACCAGCAAACATAGACAATTAAGCTCAAATATAAATCCCTGTCCTTTGCCTTTTCCCACAATTTCATTAGACCACAAAACCACTGCACCCATGTATTATTATGGAAACAATTAGGATTCAATTTGATAGGGCAAAATTTCCACACTTTAACATCATAAGGGCATCTCAATATCACATGCTCAATAGATTCACTATCCAAACCACACCTCAAACAAATATTAGATTCCACAACTTGACGCTTCTTTAGATCTTCCAAAACTGGGACAATCCTATAAACACAACTCCAAATAAAGTAATTCAATTTCTCCTTCACCTTAAGCTTCCATACTTTGTCCCAAAATCCATTAACAATTGCACATCCATTAATTCTTCTCTCATATCCCAACGATCTAGTAGCTCTTTGCAACCACTCAACGGCAACCCTGTATGCAAACTTCATCGTAAAACTTCCATCATTTGAGAAGTGCCATACTTTTTTTATCCTCGACAGTAGTTTCACTTAATGGAATTGACAAAATTTTCGCAGACTCTTTTTAAGAAAAAAACTGAGAAATAAGTACAAAATCCCAAGATTTTAAATAAGGATCCACCAAGTCCTGAATTGTGCGCATAATACACCCCGTAGGATAAGGTGAAGAAATTTTAAAACCTGAAGCATTTGGAATCCATGGATCAGTCCATACCTGCACTGCATTCCCTATACCTACTCGCCACCTCAGGCCTCTCTGCACAACCTCTCTGGATGAACATATGCTTTTCCAAGCCCAACTTGAATTACCTCTTATTCTGGCCTCTAAAAAAGAATTGTGAGGATAATACTTTCCTTTGTAAATTCTTGAGAGTAGACTACCATCCTCCACCGCTAGCCGCCATCCTTGTTTAGCTAAAAGTGCAATATTAAAAGCTTTGAGATCTCTAAAACCCAAGCCACCCTCTTGCTTATTCTTACACAACTGTTCCCATTTTAACCAGCACAAGTTCCGTCCTTTCTTAGACCCAGACCTAGACCACCAAAAGTGCATAACTTTACTACTCAAACTTTTGTAAACTCCTACAGGAAGCCTGAAACAACTCATGGTATACGTAGGAAGGGCTTGAAAAACAGACTTAATAAGAGTTGGCTTCCCAGCACTAGAAAAGAAACAATCTTTCCACCCTTTTATCTTGTCAACCATTTTGTCTTCAAGATATTTGAAAATCTGTTTTTTGGGTCGACCAATCTCAGCTGGCAGCCCCAAATACCTGTCAAACCTTCCCCCTATGATAACTCCCAACCTTCTACTCAAATCTTCCCTCTCATCAACCGGGACATTAGCACTAAAAATAATGGACGATTTTGAGTAATTGATTTATTGTCCTGTTAGTATCTCATACCTGATCAGCAACTGTTTCAATACATTTAATTCCCTGTCATTTGCTCTACAAAACACCAAAGAATCATCAGCAAATAGCAAATGAAATACAGTTGGCCCTTTATTCATTCGAATCTCAGAGAAGTGTCCATCAGCCGTTGCCTTATTAATTAACTTGGTAAGTCCCTCTGCACATAATAGGAATAAGTAAGGTGATAAAGGATCACCTTGTCTAATCCTTCTAGATGGTATAAAGAGATCCCCTGCATTGCCATTCAACAAAATAGAGTAGGAGACAGTACTAACAGTTTCCATAACCACTGTAATCCACTTGTCATCAAAACCCAATTTATTTAACACTTTGCGTAAATAAGTCCACTCCACCCTATCATAAGCCTTTGCCATGTCCAACTTCACTGCCATGAATTTATTTTTCCTTCCAGCCCTAGTTTTCAAAAAATGAACTACCTCATGTGCAATAAGTATATTATTAGTTATTAATCTCCCTGGCACAAATGCACTTTGCTCTTCACTAGCAATACTAGCTAACAAAGGTTTTAAGTGATTAGCTAATATTTTAGTAAAAAGCCTCATTACCACATTGCACAGTGAGATCGGTCGAAATTGAGCTATGTTAGTAGGTACTTTCACCTTCGGAATCAACATAACATTGGTGGCATTTAGGCTTTTCAAAAGCTGACCATGCTCTAAAAAATCATTAAAAGAACTTATAAGATCTCCCTTTATCACATCCCAGTATTGTTGGTAGAAAATTGGTGTAACTCCATCAGGTCCTGGTAATTTTGTCAACCTTATTAATTGACAAAATTATTCTTATCATTAAACTTCTTTCTTTACCATAATCTTTAATTTTTTTTTTTTTTTTTGGTTCATTTTAGTACCTAGCCGTCGACACTCCGTCTCTCTTCTCGATCTCGGACATGGCTGTTTTTTTTTTTTTTTTTTTTTTTTTTTTTTTTTTTTTCCTGTTGTGGTGGGTCTGCGCTGGCCATGGTTGTTCTATTTTTTTTTTCCTACTCTGGTGGTGGTTGTTGTGGTGGTTATGGTGGTGTCGGGTCTTTATTTTTATTTTTTCTATTATGGTGGTGGTGGTGGTTCTGGTAGCGTCTGGGTGTGTTAGTGGTGTTGTCTTGGGGTGTGGTGGTGGTCACCTTGTTTGCTTCCCAGGTTGTTTTAGGTGCTTTTGGGATGTATAAATATGGGTTGGCCATGAGTGTTTTCAAATTATTATTATTATTATTATTATTTTATTTATTGTGGTGTTTGGATGTGGTGGTGGTTATGGTGGTTTACAGTTATATGGCTATTTCAAAAAAAAAAAACTGAATTTTATTTTTTTTATTTTTATGTTATGGTGGTTATGGTGCTATAAGTATTATTATATATAAACTATATCTATATGTATATGTATAGAAGAGATGAAGAAGTTACTTTACTCCATTAAATTTATTTAAAAGGTTAAATTTATAATTTCATGATTAAATAGAGTTGTTGACAAGTTAAAGAGTTAAAATGTAATTTCATATCTGGAGGGATGTCAATGCACATTTTCAAACCTTAGAATCAAGTTTGTTTCTTTGAAACTTTTGACTGACTTGCAAATTTTATATGCATGTAATCTTTTCGAATGACTTGCAAATTTTGTATGTGTGTAATCGTGGTAATTGCTCAAACTTTTGAATGACTTGCATGTAATTACGTAGATTATTCAGGTTCAAGCCTTATTGAAATTTCAGGATTTCTCTAGAATTTGAGAGGATTTGGAAAGTAATTGCTTATCAACGAAAATTACCCATCTTGCCCATCTTGCAAGTTGCATTCACTTTCAAATCTCTCATCCTAAAATGGTACCAGATCTATTTTTAAATTTTTTTTTAACAAATTCCTGTTAATTCCAAACAGCGAATAAATTATTATTATTTTTTAAATTATAATCCAATTTATTTTACAAGTCCAATTTTAAATCCCATAATTCCAAACAAAGCAGAGATCCAAGTAAAATACCTGCAAAACCTTATCATTGAGCCAGCTCTCATTATATTTTTGTACAGGAAAAAAAAAAAAAAAAAAAAATTATTTGGGGACCTACGCCAACACAGAAGAGAGAGTTCATTAACATTTTGATGCAGGTGAAAATCAACACAGAAGAGAAAGTTCTGAACTCTCAACACACAATTGTAAAATTGGGGTCATCGGATCAGGCTTTTTGTGAATTGGAGTGAGAGATTGTCTAGATAAATTAACATTTGGTCATTCAGTTAATTAAAAAATTCCTCAAATGTGAAGGGACAAGATGAGCTAGATATATAAGTTTTGCAAGGTCAGTCAATTTGCTAGAGTTGTCAGTGACCAATCAATCTCTTAAGAAGAGAGTTTCATATTTGGGCACCGTAAATGCAATTCAACGACCATTTTGCAGGTAATACTTGAGATTGATTCCAACATTCACAGTGCACTCTAGAATATATTAATATACAAAAAAGGAAGCAATTTATTTATTCCAAAATCATTATCATGTAAAGGGTCCCGGCCATACATTTGCAACTGAGGAGGACAGGCACCTGCAGACAAAAGAAAATTCCATATGAGCTTATGCTTCAACGGCACGTAGTAGAACCAACA